AAATTACGTATGCAATAACACAGCCGCATAACACAAGTCCTTTATTTGTCGAAGTTGTAGTAAAAAGCACCAACACTTTGCTGGAGGATCCAAAATCCAAATCTGTACCATATTCAACATGATGCATGCTTATAAAGTTTTCATTTGTAAAAAAAAAGAAAAATATACTGTTACAAGTATGAAACATAAATTTTTTAAAAAATATTTTTTGCGTCCACTTTTCGGCTATGTATGACTAATGAGAAAGCAGAAATCATCTTGAATACAATTTTTAAGGCTCTAGGGATTGCACCAAATCCCCATCATTTTCAGTTACACACTATATCAATCTCTACTAATTATTGTGCTTCTTTTGTCAATATGTTTTTAGTCAATTTTGTTGTTTCCTTCCGTGATACTCGACCGCAATCGAGCTACTGTTTTTAATCTATATTAATTGGCGTTTTAAGTTATACTTCCTCCGTATATTTTTAAGTGAAATATTTTGACTAATTACACTTTGACTGATGTAAGTGATTCACACATAAGAAAATACACAGTCTTGTGAATATCTATTAGAATCGTCTTAATAAATAGTTTATTAATATTCAACTGTTATAATTAAAAATAATATTATTTAATTTTTGCATTGACATACATGTCCAAGGGAAACGTTTTACTTTAAAAAAAATAAAGAGAAAGTACAAAATTATTTACTACTCCGTACCTTCGTTTCATATTTTTTTGCAATTTTGGGGTATTATTTGTGAGATACTGCATCTGTCCCATAATACATGACACAATCATTAGGGATGTCAGTGGGGCGGGTTAAGTAGGAGATCTGCCCCATCGGGGCGGGGATGGGTCCCGATTTGGCGGGAGGTGAGGCAGGGATAGGGATAAAAAACATACCCGCCATGGGTGATGGGGCGGGGATGGATTTTAGGTTGTACCCGCCCCATTTCCACTTCATACCCGCCCTACCACCCCATACCCACATCCATATATATTATTACATAAAAATATATACTTTAATTTTATACCATTTTATATAAAAATTAAGTAAAATAATATAGTCAAAGTGTAAAACTTTGTAATAGACTTATATTATACACAAAAAAAATGTATAACTTAATTATTACTATGTAGTATAATTGTATTTGGAAGGTGGGGATTAGGCAGGTCTTAGGTGGGGATGGATATCCAAGTGGAAGGTGGGGCAGGGATGGTTTTGGAATTGTACCAGCCGGAGTGGGGCGGGGATGAGGATGAATTTTGGACCCTTCGCGGGAATGGGGATGAAAATGTTAGACGGGTATGGGGATGGGAAAGCCAGCATCCGCTCCACCTCGCCCCATTGACATCCCTGACAATCAACATTGCACACATGTCAATGCACTAGTTTGACTTTGTTTTTATATGATTAAATATTAATAAAAATTATTTCAAAAATTATATTATGAAACTTTCTATTAATACCTATCTAACAACATATTTTACAATAAAATATGTGTTAATTATGTTAGTAAAAAATTATGGTCAAAGCTAATAGAAAAAAGTCCAACGTCTCATATATTTTGGGACAGAGGGAATATAAAATATTGCAAAGTTGTAAAAAATATATAACGAAGGTAGTACAATAGGATAGTTACATAGGTATTTTAAGAAAATTAACGATTGTGCATAGATTTTTTAACATATATTTATGCATCAATAATGTAATGATTAAAGATGTATTGGACGGAGGTAATTTTAATGTCACCTATAGCATGTTTTAACATATATAATTGTATTAGTATGTTCCTAATCAAATTTTGAGACCTAGGTGATCTATCTTTGCCCAAACTTAACCTTAATTTTCCAAACCTATTACCCTCAATTACACACTCTCCTTCCACCCTACGTCGCTCCCCACCCTCTTCACACCTCCACAGCCCCTCTCGGCATCATCAAAGCTCCAACATTAGATGGCAGTGGAACGCGACGTGCGAGGGAACGAAGGGTACCAATGTAGGGACTAGGAAGAGGGAAGTTAGGTTATAGTTTTAGGATTAAGTGGTGATAGATACACCTCGTACAAGTGTAGAGGATAAGATGAGAAGATATAGCAGATTTCTACCACAAATTAAGCCAAAATTGATCTGGATCTGTTTGACCATCTAGCATTATTAACCAAAGGTATTCAAGTACAATAACAAACACAATTATTAGTACATCTCAATTACTTATAATTAATCCTCATCAAACTAATACATCAAGTAAGCACATAAACACACGATTTAACAAGAATGTCATTAATAATTAGTATCATCTTTTTAACACACATGTTAATCCAACCAACTTCCCTAAAAAATGACATAACTTCTTACTAGTAATAATCATGTATTGAAAAAGTGAATTTACCAAAACAAGTAAAAATTATACTCGTGACATTTGTAGAATTATAAAGAAAATTCCCCATAAAAGAAAGAATGTGCTGAAGAAATTTATCCACAAAGAAAGGTAAATTTAAAGGCAAAAACAGATGCTTCTCGAGATATTCAACAAAACAACAAAATTGATGCAAAGATGAGATGAGATGAGATGGGATGGGATAGGGAATGGGGTCATCTTCAAAGTTGGGAGCATTCGGTGCACCATTTCCATCATTTATGTCACGTCCCAAATTCCCCATTCACTACTGCCCATCCATACAATAGTCCCATGACCTTTCCAGAACCATCACTATAGCTTACGGACAATATTCCGCATCGAGTCTATTATGTTCTCGGGTATACCTAGATCAGGCCTTAAGCTAGATAAATTACTTTGAAATTCTCTTACGAGTTATTAATTCCAACCACCACCAAGACTTTACCAACTATTCTAGCTTACATGACACGATGCTTAATGAATAGACTTAAATTCTTCGAACATAGACTAAACAAAATGTAATCATACTATAAACAAGATCGACACATTAAACAGGTCGATTGAGGTATAATATCAATCAGACTAATGGGGCGATATCCTATCTATGAAACGGGTAATGACATTTTTTATTTCCCAACATTGAGACATTAGGGAAATCCTAACTTATTAGTAGTATCATGATAATGATTCTATTCCAGGGAACATATAAACTAGGTTTAATGAGCTAAAGACGTGACGAGTATTTTGGAAGTAAACAAGGCACACAATGCATAGTACATTAGTACTATATGTGACTTGTTGATTTAAAAGATAATTACAATAGAATGAGTACAAATGGTAATAATTATCCTATCTTAATGTTACCTTATTACTAATTAAAGACTAGTATTGGTACAATTTTATCGAACTTATAGCTAACTTAGAAGTGAAAGAGAGTAATATTCAAGCTAAGGTATGAACCTCAAACAGTCTTTACCCAATTTAAGAAAAGGACTAATGAATGAAAAAGACAAAGCAAAGTACAAATTAACCGAGAATAGGCTATTAAAGAAGAAAAAGAAAGGAGAACAACTGAACAAGAAAATTGAGTTAAATGAAGCATCCTCCAATAGAAATTCTGAGAGAATTTTAAGACACATCAAATCAATATCCCACCATTTCCAAAGAAAAATCACCTTAACTCAAGGCTCGACTCTCGGACAACTTGGTTATTCGTGTTAATACATGTCCAAGTGATAAACTCGACTACTTCATACTCCGTCACAAATTTTCATCTCTAGCTTCTACTGTACCACGTATGTTTTAAGATGTATGTGTAACAACCGTACTTTTACCAGAGTGTCAAATATCTGACACGGGTACTTAAGAGTAAATTAAGATTCCGAAAAACGTACAATAGAGAGAAAGATCAAGCTGGCAAGCAACAACAAAGAGGGAAAACAAAAAAAGAAGCCCTAGCTCAAGTCACGTTCTAAGACTGCACAAAATAAAACTAGTTCCTAGTTCCTACACTTTAAATTGTACAAACAACAAATTACATGAAACATGATGCTATACAATTCACACAACAAGCTAGGGTAAAGCAAGAGAGCTAAAGATAGTCTCTGAAATATGTAAGGTCTGCAAATGCATGCTTAAATTCATATCAGAAAGTCAGATTTATCACACCATCACTTTTCTTTTCTATTTCTCTTAACTCTTTCTTCAAAGCACTGCCATCTTCTTCACTCCTAACACTTATTTTTCTCTCTCTTCTTTCACTTTTTTTAAAAAAATTTCTCAGGCTTTAATGCATATCTGAATTATTGCCATATACTTCCATAAAGCAATTACTTCGTCATTGTATTTAATACTCTTCTTCCGCCTCTAAATGTTGTTCATTCATGTTTTGTTGATAATTATTACACACTAAAAAAATCCAAAGTAGGAACAATATTTAGAGACGGACATAGTGTAATGTTTTATTTGCATTATTTGATGCATGATCATTGATCAAGTTATACAAGTACAATTATAATTTAAAATAATTGAGTTGAAAAGTGGGATTAAAGAGATGATTAAGTTGATTAATTATAAAGGAAAAGGGATTAAGATGATAAAACTAATACTACATTCCAAAGATGAAAACATAGGATTACTTTTTAGAGTTTTTATGTCATGTCAAACAGTTCTTAAAGCAAAAGGAGGAAAAAATATAACAAGGCAGAATCCCAGTATACCAACATACTTTTGAGCTATGTTTGAATAAACATAAACAGCAAAATGTGATAAAAGAAGAATTCAACTAGCAAAGTTATGCAGACTATAGTATTTCATTAGCATAATCCCACATTTCCAAAGTTTAAATTAACAAGATTATAATGAAATCACTGTTAAGCTAAGCCTTGTATAAATGGGTGTATTGTACAAGTAGCATACATTAAATTTAGCTGTCCTAAATGGCTAGAAAATGTGATTTTAGGTAAATGGGTGTATTGTACTAGTAGCATACATTAAGTTTAGCTGTTCTTAATGGATAAATCACATAAAACTCGAGAAAATGTGATTAAACATGTCGGATACCATACACCTGTTGTATACGGGTTTTTGCATCAAGCTTGAATATACACTAGCAAGCAAGGTTACAAATTTCATTAACCAACACCTTAATAAGATAATTTTGTTTTCATTTTCATTACAAATTTCAACATTCAAAAACATGCAAATACTAAATACATACCTACAAATCTAATAAAACTCCACTCCTATCTAAATAAGATGAGAATCAAGAAAATCACATTAACATAATCTAACAAATAAAGTGGGTTTTCAAGTAACCATCATTTTGAACACAACAAATTCCTAAAAATTACAATTAAAAAAAAAAAAAAAAAAAAAAAAAAAAAAAAAAAACATAATAATTTTTTCATATCATTTCACAAAATAAAAACAAAAACTAACCTATTACATGAAACCATGACGATGAAGTTGTGGAAGTAGTAACAATAGTGAACATGGAATATACCAAACTTTGAATTTCTGACATTAGTAAGTTGGTCTAGCAGTAGTAGGAGTAGCCCAAATAACATCACCTGCAGGAGCTGAAGTAGTCGGAGTATTACCCAAATGACCACTATACAAGCTCATTGTCCTACCACCATCTCCGCCACCCGATACGGCAGAATTATCCTCATCATGGCATTGACTATTCGGCGCCTCTTGCTCGTCAAGAGGCAGCCGACAGTAAGTAGGATTGTTAAACGACGCCGCAATAACGTATACTGTGCCGGAACACGCCAGTGTGCCCACTACCTTGCCACCCACAATCTGCCCTTGTGGGCCCGCTAACGATATCGTGAAGCCTCCACCACCTACACCAGCACCGCCATGAAACGGCACCGTATTAACAACAACTGCAGAAAGAGACAAAATATCGAATCTCCCGTGAAAAGTGACGGTCCCACCTGGGGTTGTTGTAGAGGGCTGGTTAAGGGTAACGTTCGCGACCGCCCCAGAAGCGGCTAAAACACAAAGACCAACACCACGGCGGCGCGTGAAGCGCGTGAGCGAGTCGATGACGTCAGCACCACTAGGGAGTTCAAGAATGTAAGGTGACATGGCAGGGTCGGGTTCACGGGTTATGACAACTGGGGGTTTGGGTTTATTCTTCGAGCCGGGTGGTCTGCCACGTGGACGGCGGGAAACCTCGATGGTCCCACCATCTTCATTGCTAGTAGTGGTGGTGGTTGTTTGAGCTTGAGGTGTTACAATCTTAGGTTTCTTTGTAATAGATTCGTGTAGAGTTTGATGTTGATGAGGAGGAGTCGGAGTCGTAGTTGTTGCGGAGTCGGATTCTTCGGAGAAAGGGTGGTGAGAGTGGTGGAGATGTGGTGGAGGAAAGTGGTGGTGGTGGTGGTGAGGAGGAGGAGGAGGGGGATGGAATTTAGGGTGGTGAGAGAATTTTGCAAACATATTGGGTGCATTATTTTGAGTATTGTTGTTGTTGATATCATTTTCTTCTTCTACATATTCTCCTTTCATTTTTTTTTTATGATTTTTTTAAGTTGGTTTGATGGAGATGGATATTTTATTTTTGTGAAATTAATGGATAATATAAAAAATTTAGGACTTGGGGGTTTTTTATTTTATTAAATTATGAAATGGGGTTTTAAGAGGGTTAAAGAAAGATTGAATTTTTTTTATTCTCTTTTGGTGGGTGAATAATGGAGATGAAGAAGGTTAAAATAAGGAAGGAAATGAAGAGGAGAGAGAAAGAAGGAGGTGGGTGAGCTTTGAAACAAAGTAAAGAGGGCGCCGCTGGTTAGAAATGGGGAAGGGGGGGGGGGGGGGGGTGTGTGGGGTCCAGAAGAGAGCATAGATACAGACAGGGAAGGTGACAGAAAGAGAGGTGTGTTGTGTGGGCGTGACTCTGGTGTGTGTTTCAATTCGACTGCAAGGCGTTGCCTATTTTAAGGACGTACACTACCTTTTGTGCATTTGTGCGTTCGTTGGTTTACTTGATTTGTATCTCAAAATGACAAAATGTGATGCTTGTTCGAGTAGTTTAATACTTGGCTTGTAAATGATTAGTTATTGTGTTTTTTTTTTATTTTTTTGTTTTATTTAAAGAACTCTAGTAATTGTTTAAATATATGAAATAATACTATTTGTATTAAGTGGGTCGATATTTGATAACCTGATAGGGTACCATTAACTTTATTATTGGACATATATGGATGTATGATAGTATAGTTTTAATGTTGGGTGCGTTTAATGACATGACATTATAAATTTTATCATATACACTTCTCCATTAACTTTCACAACCTTCCTATGTTCTCTCCCTTACCTACTCTCCCCGCTCTTGCTTTGCCGTTGCTGAAAGCACTCCATATAAATATTTATTCGAACTCGATGAAATTTATTATGTCATTAGGCGAATATCAAATTATGGAGATGGCTCAAAATTAATTTGGAACAGTAACTACGTGATTCTATAGATTAGACATTCGTGCACACTTATGCTTATAATTAGCACACATGTTAATTTTGCATTTGTAATTTAGCGTATTATATGTACTACATTGGCATATTTTAAATACATTTATGATATTTGAGATCTATAAATTTGAGATAATGAATTATTAATTGTACAAGTCGTCAGTATCTACATTCGCTAAAAACACGAATTCCTATAGTATGTCATTTCTTTAGAGCTTTGTAATCACTCATTTATCATCAATATTACTTCATGGCTAGTATAGCTTGGTTGGTTTTCTCATAGAACTCAAGTTCCCATACTATACCAGTGTGTTCTCGTACATTTGTAGTTTTCTTTGCTTGCTTATCCTTTTAGCTAGTTAATTATTGATATATAGTCAGTTGCTATCATGCATTTACCATAACTAAATTGTGTATACATATAGTATTGCATACTAAAACAATTATACAATTATTTATTTTCAAAGTATTCTTTTTACCAATTACCATGAATCAATCAGTCATATACTAAAACAATTATACAATTATTTATATCAGAGTCAATGATGACATTAAATAGGATGAACCTTAAATATTAATGACAATTTTGTCAGTGTCTATTTGTCGGCTAATTTCATCTCCCATTTCTCGCACCTTTTTTAAAAACTTCCTGAAAATATGTCTAGCCGAGGAGGTGAATTGTAGAATAAAGTGATTTTAATTATCTAAAGGCAAACAACATTTCAAAGCTAAACACCCCTCCTTCGAATACATAAGTTATACTTCCTCCATTCTAGTAATATTGCAATAACTGGATTTTTGCACTATTCATTATGTTTGTTTGACCACATATTATGATTTATACGTAAAGTAAAATATAGTCATGTGGGGTCTTGTTATATTCATCTCGTAAAATACTTTTACTATATCAACTTTTTATAATTTTTACTCTTATATAGTTATATATATTTAACATATGAAATGTGTTTTGAGATGCGTAATTTCATCCTTATTACAATATTTGTGGAATGGAAGAAGTATACTTTTATTTGAGCAGGATCAACAATAAGAATTGGAAATAATTTTAGAAAGTCAATGCAAAAATTGATAGAAAAGTTAATTAATGTAATTTAACATAACCTAGCATAGTAAATTAGTGACATTCAAGTACATTATTTAAAATAAACAAGATGTACGTATATTAAAGTTGTAAAATTACAAAAATCTATAGGAGTTAATCAATTCTTTCAATGCATGAACACTTCAAAGTTCTGAGTAGGAAAAAGGAATCTCACCTTTAAAGTCACCTATTAGAGCGTCGAACTCATTACCACCAAATCACAAGGTTAAGCTTCCAAAAATGCTGCTAGATCAAAATTAGTACACCATTTTTAATGTTGAGAATAAAAAATACAGTGATGTTAATTAGTTAAGTGCATAATAATACAAAGTACATTTCATAATAATCACAACATTAATATTGACCAACGAGCGAGACCTTGATCTAGTGTTTAGGATTGGATTGAGGGCTCGTGCGCAATAGTGAATTCTAAGGTTCAATTAAAATTGATGACACGCAATGACTTAGGCACAAGGCATATACATAAGGGGTGGGCATAAGGGATAAGACATACATAAAATCACATCATCAATCCTTAAAAAAACACCTATTCTGATAATGTGCAGTGAGTAGCATCTTGGCTTGCCTTAATGCCAAGGCAAGACAATGCAAGGCCTAGGATAAGTAAGATAACATAAATGAAAGCAGCGCAAAGCCAAACCATGGTTACAAGACCAGGGCAAGGCAAAATAAACAAGGCATCTTAAGACATGATAATTAACGGTAAGCCAATGCATGAATGAGATGGTTTTGGTCACAAAACGAGCCTTTCTCAGAGTCCTTTGGAAAGTCCATGGAGTACTTGGATGCATAATCTTGCTGAGTCCAAAAAGGTGCTCCGGAGGTCAAGTTTGATGGTCCATAATACACAAAATTGGACCATTTTACGAGATTTCGGGATCCAATTCCTAAAATTTAAGAGATGATAAGGGATGCATCATGAGGTCATGTGACGTTGATTGAAACCATAAACGACCACTAATTGGTCACATAAAAGGTTTGCTGTGAATTTGATTTCATGAATGAAGATGTCCGTAAATGGTAAACTGACCAGTTTAAAGGCAAAATGAACAGCCCTGCTACTCAAATGGCATCTTATGGTGTGTTGTGGGATTTATGGGAATTGAAGCACCCCGACCACTTTCCTTTTGGGGTCCGAAAAAGTAATAAATTGTCTAAAATGAAGGTTATAAACCTGCTTGGGACCAAATTTGGGAAATTTTTCCAAAATTGAAGTGAATGTGTAGGGTGTCTCCCAAGGTCGATTATAAATGTTAATTTAGATCCATTATAAGCCTATCAATAAGTCTTTATATTCTCTAGATTGAGTTATGTTTAACTATGTGATTATTTTGAATTTATGTTGCATTGTTAATTAGTCAAAGATTTACAAAAGAAGATACTTGGTAAGTTGAGATTCTACTAATTTAAGGTATTGAGAACATTTAATTGGTTTATCAAAATGCAAGTATTTAAACACCCTACTTTATCTATTAAAACTCAAAAGATACAAAAAATACCCTTAATTACTTATAAGTTTGCTATATAACTAATTAATCCATATGAGCAAGATCTTAATATACACACCAACTCAACCTTGAAATTTTAAGAAGATCCACCTAATCCTTTTGGTGCCGTTTACCTATGTTTGAAGAAACCCAAAATGGGAGTTGAATGCCTTTGACAATAAGAATAGGCATGTGCTATAAAGGTGGTGGTTCAATTCATGCTTTGCTTACGTGCATCAAATGTTTTTTGGGCTAAATTATCTCTAAAAGTCAAACAGTTTAATCATTTCTTACTTCAGAATGTTTTTCATTTACAATGTGCAAACATTACGTTAATTAATTATTAGCTCCATATTAACTAGTTTAATCTATCATTCTATCTAATATATGACCCACTATTTGCTCGTTACTCCATCCTCCGAATTTAATACCAACTAAGATAACAATTTTTTGATGTGGAGGCTTTACTTGTAGTTAGATCACACCCAATGGGTCCAACTTACTACAAACGAAGCTTCTAGAATTGGGAGATAGGAAGTACCAGTAGTATTAATTACTCCATATTTATTTAATTCAATAAATGGCTAAGGACAATGTAAATTGAACATATATATTCCCCTCTATACATGCACACCGACTCCCACCGAGGATGAGGTGATTAACCCTAAAATATTCTTATGTGGTATCAAGAGTCTAATAAAAACCCTTTCAAAACAGTTATTCGATTTTTTCACAATAATATGTACAAACAAGGGAATAAATAACTTTCGTTTTTAAGACCTTAAAATAACAACATATGTCTGAATACGTCTTAAGTAAACTTATACTCTTAAATTTAACTACTCTACTGTGGGGGTAGAATATAAATTAAATAATTCAAGTACGAGATATATTTAGGCATGCACTTGCGTTGCGTTTGTGGCCATTAATCTTGCCAGAAGCTTAGTTTAGTTGCTCTTACATAATTGGCTCATGCTATAATCGTTCTAGCAAAGTTACTTGGAATAATTTCCAAGTATCTTCTAGTGAGTGGTGGGCAAACGTATGATAATCTCATTAGGTGATGCATGAGATTAGTCTTTGTCAAGGATTTCGGCAAAGTGTCCAATTTTATTATCTTAGACAAAGTATAGTAATTTTGTTATACAAGATATCACATATTGATTCGCAAGTGAACATTATATTTTTAGAGAAGTCACAATTTGAGACTTTGACCATATTTAGACAATGCAAAAAGATAAGCTAGGATACTCTCTGCTATGAAAATAATAATGAGTCAAACTAAGCCCTTAATTAATCTATTTGAGTTATGAAGATAATGAAGTATATATATTTAATAAGAAATATCAGTATAATCACTTTGAATTCATAAATAATAAAATAAGTAAGCATGGTTTCAAAAAAAAAAAAAATTAAAAATAAGTATGCAATTTATATAAGATAAAAACACTAAAGAATAATATACGAAGTATATAGTTTTGAAGTGTTAAAAAAGTAGCACTGATAAGTATAATACAGTTTTAGTTAATAAAGCTTGTTTCAAATTCTTTTGTAATAACCAGATGAATACGACAAGTCGACAACACACAACTAAGCCACCAATGATCCTAAATTATCTGAATTTTTGTTTACTTATTCAAACTTATTATATTTAACTCATGTTAGTTTAAACTATAATCACGCCATCCTTATTAACCCAATCATAAGTTTTTAATTTTTTTTATCCTTTTTAGAACTTATTTTTTTTTGAAATATATAAAATGAAAGCCATTTAGATAAGGAGAACTTAATAGTAGTGTTAGGTGAAAAGCTGAAAGCTAAATCTGAGTATTGTTAGCTAGTTTTGGCTAACTGATTGTATATATTAACTGATTGTATTAATTAATTGTATAAAAGTGTTTTGGTAAATAGCTAATTGATTAAAACTATTTGAGGATGTAAAATGACCAATAAGCTAATTGTAGAGGTAGGTAGTTGAGATATGGTTTTAGATTAATTTAGGGTATAAGTGTAATTTCACCTAGAAATGTTGAATTAGCCAATGAGAAAGCTCTCTAAGAAGCTCATTGAAAAAGAGTTTATTTAATGGAATAAATTCTTTGAATCAACTCTTCACTGAACACTCCAAATTAGCTTATTTAATGATCAATCAACTAATATTGGTCAAATAAGCTAATTTTGTCCCAATAAACTCTTTACCGTACACCTTCAATGTGGACACTTTTACGTTACATAAAATCAAAAGAGCAGAAACTACTAAAAAAATAAAAATAAATAAATAAATAAAAGGTGGCTATTGACATGCATGCTTTCTTTCAACACTATATGAATATATAATCAATAACAGTAACACTTTAATCACAAGGGATGCTCTTTATGCAATGAACATACATGCCATATTTGGAAGGAGAAGGTGTATTATTGTATTAAGTATTATGTTGCCTAAAATGTTACTCGTAAAAAAGTTTCAACTAGCTTATGGTGAAACTAAAGAATTGGGGGAAATGAAGATTGGAAAAAAAAAAAAAAAGGAATAAGCTTTATTGACATGTGTTTTACTCAGCAGTCAGAAGAGATACCAAAAATTGAGCAACTTGTAGTAGTGGTCACTACCAATCTACCATTAATTCAATTTTCACCTAATTAGTAAAAGTTAAAACTATAGGGTAAATGGTAACTTTATGATTTGATTGCTTTATATCAATCATTTAATTATTGAATAATTCACCATTATTGATCAAATCACCTTCTGATTGGCAATATTGCTTTAATTAGACTATGAAATTTATTTGATGAGATATGTTTTGTCTTTCTTTTATTCTTTGTCTAAATTGGATTGGACTACTATGTGAATATTTTGTCATATAGGGAAGGGATAATGGATATTGGTTCATCCAGTTGCTAGTGTTTCAAGAATTTTGTACCTAGCTTTCACAAGTTGTTAACGACTTAATTGTAAAATATTATGGCTTTATTTCTTAATGATTCAATTGCAAAGAATTTTGGAAAGTTTTGTGATATTTTATTAGATAACGTATTCTTATCATTCTTAAAAATACTAGAAATGAAAACTTTAAGGGGAAAAAAAGGGAAATTCATGGACTTTGGTAGCCACAAATTTTTCTACATACCACTTAAGAGTTAAGTCTTCCATTAAATTGTAACACGACAACACAATTAGGCAATAGATTTGCCATAGTTGGATTAACTTTTGTTTGATCATTGATTCATAATTGTCAAAAATTAGTCAAATTGAATTGCTTGTAATGATTTGAATTAAGATCTTAGTCTACGCCCAAGTGAGAAAGGGCATTTTGAAGCCAAATGCCTCACGTTAATGTGGTATTACTTCGTTTAGGTGGAGATACCCTAAATAAAGCTACTTTAATCCCTTATGCGAGATTGTTCATCATCGAGACCAATATGAAATTTCACCCACGATAGATTGTTTGATACACAAAATAGTTGCATTAAAATAGATAGAAAATTAATCTTTAGGGTAAAAATTAAAATTGACAACCAACCTAAAGCCAGTTACCTAACAAAAATGTAACGTGAATTATGAAAAAGTGATTAATTTATTTCATAATGTTGCATCAACTTTTAAATTAGGTTTTTGCTCGGGTGAGTTTGAAAATCCACCTTTCAAAAATGTTTAGCCCTAGTATATCTCATAGGGTTACAACCGTTACAAGGATGGAATTAAATCCACTCTCAAAGACAGGCGTATCAACCACCAATTGGTTTAATTTTACCGATGCCAATTTATTTAGATTCAAAGTCTAATAGTCATACATTATCCCTTTCTAGTTTCTACAAGAAGCAAATCACTCAATATATCTTGTTAATTGAAGATTTCTTGTAACACAAATACAAGGCACTATTAGCTGGTAGTTTACAGAAGCAGGCTTTAACAGGCTGCGCATTTGATAGAGCAAGAGCCAAAACCACTCTTTATTCCAAAAGACTACTAGAAACTTGTCATATGGATAGCGACTTGCGAATGTATTGCAAGTCTTTGTTATGACATGGCTTGGCAACCTGCCTACATACGTTACGATGACTGCTAACCCACATATTGAAACAAGGAATCAGGTCAAATGGTGATGATGCTGATCTGCTAACCGATTTAACATTTCAGCTCTCAAAAAAATTCCAATATTATTTTGAGCTACTTTGAAAAATTCCAAGAGCAGTATTATCAAAGTATCCGATGAAGATGCAGACATTTTGAATTGAAATGAAAACAAGAATTTCATGAGCTTTCAACCCACTTCAACTAAACACACAAGAACATGTACAATGTCTTACAAAGAAACAACTTCTCTAAAGGCAACGTACTTGATGTAAGTTTTCTAAGCTAGCTCAGCTCTTTTCTTGACTTTGAAGGCAAGCAACAAAGGCATCGGGTGCAAGTGGATGAGCCTTCAGACTGGAAGATTCTGCGTAGTTGATTTTCGAACATTGAACACTTATTGATCACATACGAGCCACGTAGGAATTGGCCTGGGTAACATATCTTACCCAGCGGTAGGGATTGTAGGTTTTTGACTTCTTTGCAATCTGCAGGTATTTTACCTGAATAACAAATTAGAACAGGGAAACAAAAAATTAAGCACCATTCAAACCAAAAAACATTGCAAGAGTATCAGAAGGCCCTTCAACTGGCCTATTATTTTCACCAGTTATTTACAAACTTTATTATGTATCGAGTTTGTCTCAATGTACTACTATAATTTCAAATCATCACCAAGATATTCAAGGATATTGGCAAATGTGAAAATCAATGTTGAGCAATTAAACAAAAAGGAAAAATCCTAGCCACCCTAAAAGCAGCATCAGATACAAATTTTAGAAACCAACAACATAGCCAATCAACAATTAAAAGCATAGCAGATAAGGCCTATGATTAAAGTTCCATGGAAAGAACTCGCAAACACATGAGCAAAAATGTTACCTGTAGTCTAGAAGCATTGTACATTGGAATTGTGAAATTCATACTGACAGGTCCAGCCTCCTTTGTTAGGTTCCCTGAAATGAAATGATGGCAACTCATCATATTTGCATATATAAATGTAAAGCATAATCTTAGAAAAAATGAGGCCATTCAAGTACATAGAGAAAGCAACTAAAAAGGAAAATTTCCTACCGTGTGATTCCTGTGAAAATGTCAGTTTTGCACGTAATGTATGCTCAGCTCCACCAACAATCTGTTGAAATTATTTGATTAGCAACTGGCAAAAATTTAGATAAATGTTCTATATATTGCAACTTTCAATTTGCTGCAGTCCATGACTATGTGAACAAGGAATTAAGGAAATAGCTTCACCTTCTTTAGACTCCATTCCAATCTCTTGTTAGCTTCCTTGAAATCAGCCATTTGTCCTATAGCACCAGGTTCCACATCAAAGCTAACTCTGAAAAGTAGTGAAATCACCAAACACTCAGGCAGTGTCTTTGAAACTATACAAGGTCTAATTTGGTCAATGCATGGCATGCCCAACAGTTTCGTAGTTATGTAAAAGCTTGTGAAGTAAGCAGTAACTGGGCTTCAGAAATTAGGTCGCTTAATCAGAAAAGAAAAACACTATCTGAAATAATGCATTGTTCTGTGCAAGTAAGGATCAAAGCAACATTGATACCTTGAGGTATAACTTGGCAGAGGCATTTGAACTAGAATAGTGTTTGCAGTGGCATTAGAAGGAAATTCAGCACGTATTTTGATAATTACTTCAGCCTATTCAATAAAAAGGCAAACATCAGATAATACAATGAATATATAACTTATTATACAACACACTTGTTACATGACAATACAAATATGAAGCAGATGATAATCACATAACAGATGTAAAGACAACCCTCCATCCATTCAAGTCAGAGGAAACCAGACTAAAAAATAGAGGATAAGATGATATAGACTATGAACACGAACTTTCACCACTTCACAAATCTACCAACAAATACAACTGAACCACATGTCAAGAATTCTGTCTTTTCTGTATGAACAGGACAAAAAAATTTGAATATTATATCCATACGCAAGCATCAGCAATCAGACATTCAAGAAAAAAAAAAACCCCTAGTACAAAACATGATAAATTCAATAAACTGGATGGATATTCAGCATCTCCACCACACAAAAATAGTGGCACAAAACTAAACCTAATGTCATAAGAAATATTCTGAAGAAGCAAGACAGCCAAACAATCAACATCACGAGGAATGAAACTAGATTGTCATTTCTGGGAAAAAAATGCACAGCTGCTGACCCACTCTCAGCACTATACAGGCACATATGCAGAATAACAATTTTTGTAAACCTTTTCATACAAAAATTTATTTCAGAGAAACATCAATAACATGCATAGAACCATGCTATCTCAAGATCAGCCATTGGTGGTTCTACTGCAGTTCTCTTCTCCGAGATTCAAAACTTAGAGATGCAATTACAACCATGATCATTTAAACATTCAACTCACAGCCAAAAAGGAAGGCGACTGAGTTATCATCTCAGAGGAGAAGGTATATTATAGATATTTCACTCAGAAACGAAAGAATGGTATACACCACCTTGAGGGCTCCAGCTTCTTCAATCAAAGCATTGACACGAAAGGGAGGTTTGAACTCCTGTGTCATACGATAATTCATAACTGAGAATTCACCATCTGAAGGTACCTACAAATATCAGTGTATAATTATGATACCCTGGTAGAATGAGATTCAAAACAAAACTAGAAATAAAGCTGCACAATTCCTTCAAATTTCACTAACCAGACTTAAAGTTCTGTCTAAATCGAAATTATCAAGGTGCACAGATTCATGGAAGTTGCAATCATCAAGTATCACTGTACCAGAACCAACAGAATTACCATATCCTGTAAAACAATAAAGAAAAAAAAAAAAAAAAGAGGAGGGCTTTTAGCATATTAACTTATTGAGATACATTTGCCACAACTTCACAAATTAAAATTCAAAGAAACTCATAATTACCATATGCTGAACTTCCACCTCTCCCTATTGACACATCCTCATTTAAAGCTAATTTAATTTCTGGATTACCCGTAAGGTAACTTTTCATCTGAATTGTTCCGTCAATTTCTGAAGTTAATATATATCCCTGCAAAGCCAACATTGCAGTTTAAACTTAAAAACATGTATGCCAACAAAAACAATAAAAGAGCAGGTAGAAGCTTTCAACAAATGTAGTATGTGTATGAATTATGATGGCTTAGTATAATGCCAACTTTACAATGACAAAAAGACTGTCAATAAATCTATAAGCCCTTCCTAGTACCCTAACACCCCCCCCCCCTCCCCTCTTTCTCTTTTCCTAATAGAAATATACGAAAAACAAGGTAGCAAAAAACCAGAACATATTTGAGCCTTTTGTTAGCACTTCACTTTTCTAAATTGGGAATTAAGCATACCCCAAATTTGTGCTGATCTACATGCAAGCTAGCAGCTCTCAAGTATCTTTTAAACTTCTTTATCATTTCATGGAACTCGAAATATTATGAAATTTTAGAAGCTATAAGGCACACATTTCTATATTAAAAAATAAATAATAAATAGATCAAATAGGGTTAAGTGCTTACGCTGGAGCTGAAGGTTACACTTATCTTCTCAATGATATCAACAAAAATTTCTTCTCTCTTCCTACCTCCAGGCTCATTTGCAACCACAGACTTCGTCACAGCAGTGCCAGGCATTCTTTTGTTCCCTTGCTACAAACATTAAAACTTATAATAAGCAACAAATAGTGGAGTAGCAAATAGTTTGCAATGGAAAGAAAAAAATCAATTTTAAAAGACATGATACTATGATTAACCCCATACCATGAAAATGGAAGCAGGACCAAGTGCAGGAACCCGTGCAGCATCAACCACTATTGGTTCATTGAATATATAGGACTTCAATACTTCTGTGGATGTTGTTTGCACATAGCCAAAATCCTGTACAGTGAGATAATGATTCAGATGCATAGAAGCACATGGCAGTTAACAGCTTTTCATGAAACTAACCCATATCTTTATAAACAAAGTATCATGGCTATTGCACTTCCAGTACACGCCAAAAAGATCAAAATCTCAATAAAACCAAAGGAAAATAGTAAAAGATGTGAACTTTTTGCATATTCATCCACAGAAATTTCGCAAAAGATTACTTAGCATATCATGAGGTTTTGCCGAGGTGGAAAACAGGAAGAAGTGTTAAATATTTAATATGACTTCATCAAGCATCTCAATAAACCCAAAGGAAAATAGGAAAAGATGTGAACTTTTTGCATATTCATCCACAGAAATTTCGCAAAAGATTACTTAGCATATCATGAGGTTGTGCCAAGGTGGAAATCAGGAAGAAGTGTTAGGAATACTTACTATGACTTCATCAAGCAACTCATAAACAAGCACAAAATTTCTTCTAAGAGATTCTTCACTTAGAACCCCAAGGTAATCCTTAGTCACACGGGCAATACGCTGAAGGAGTTCCATTATAAGAGAAGGTGATACATTAGCTCTGGTGGTTGCCACAAATAGTAGTCCAACAATCTTCACATGGAAGTAATTCACTCCATCTACATTCTGTTGACAGTATCATAGGACGAGTTGAGATAAGATTTCCTTAATATTATGAATAAAAAAAGTTAATATAATGCCAATCTAAAAACAGATAATAGCAGTGAGACACAAAAGGCAGGAAAACAAAGAGGGGTGGATTGAGGGATTTTACACACGATCATATAGCAATACACTATGCACCAAAAAGTAATTTTCACTGTGGAATTGGATCTCAACTAAAGAAAAGGGCTTGTAAACCATTAAATAGGGTCCACGAAATTTTAAGAGGGTCATAAGCAACAAGAAACATGGTCATTGATGTCAATGGATATGACACACTGGAGTGATAAAACAATATCAATGTTAGCAATGGCCTTGTAATAATAATGCTCAATAACCACCTCAGCTCTCATATTTATGCCACTCACATTGTTCATTCAGTTCAAGTTCAATACCAATGTATGATACTCAAAACCCTGACATTGGTAGATACTGACATACAGTTTACATTTCAATTTGGACCAAAATCATGTAGTCTTTGCACCTAGACATGTAACCGCGTCCAACATTATGTAACCATGCAACAATAAAATCCAAGTCTGAGTAAAATAGTTCTACACGTGCAGTTTAAAGGCAAACAAGCCTTTGACTTTCAAATGTCCACTGAATTTTCGACTAAAACTTACTAATCAATAAAAGTAGATATTATAAAATTTATAATTGCCATAACCACCACGGCCATAGCTCAGATTCTTTCATATTGATTAACATGAGCAAGAAATAAAGAATGTATTACACGGGATAACCTCTCAAATATTTGGACGGGATAACTAATAAAGCACCCAAACATATAATATACAAAGGGTAGCATAAAGGTTCCCTAAACACACTTTAAGCAAAGCACATTAACCTGAGTTAATGCCATTATAATGGTAAGGAAAACTAATTCAAGCATGTATAATACTGTAAATATTTCACGGTAAGAGAGTGTATCTGGAAATCAGGAACAAAATTTTCCAGATTAAACAGAGAAATACGCATATTGAGACCCTAGAGCATCAGGTCAAGTCACCCCAAGGTTTTACTTATAGGGAATATGCCTGAGCAAGAGGCAGCTAACAGCTCTTTTAAAAATCCAGGGTTAACATTTTTAGTGATAGCAAGTTTGCATCAAAAGGAATAGGACTGAATCAAATTGCCCCCATTTTGAAAAACAGGAACCCAATTGTTCAATTGAGGAAGGAGAAGCTTGAAAAAGAGACTGAAGAGTAGCTTGCGGAACTAATATCTTTATGGCTGGTGACAATCCTACTAGGCTAATATTGATCAACTCGATCAATTTATTTATTCCATGTGGAAGTTTGTTGCAGAACCCAACTTTTTTTAGCAATTAAAGTGCTTTTTTACTGTGAAAGTCAAAAAAATTAATAAAAAAAATTGAAGACAGAAATAGCATTCTTCATTAAGAGTCGCATTTAATGAATAATTGGCCTATTATGCTGAAGCTGCTACAGCTGATTATCAAAAGGGGATCCATGGACCATGGTAAGCTCTCCACTGTGGGTATGCTTACTACGAAGGTGATAGGAAGACTTAGTTATAGTGGATGACTTCTACGAAGGTGATAGGAAGACTTACTACCTTTTGATTATTATGTGAATTTTTGTTTTCCAATTGAGGTTGTTCTGAAACAGTTGTTATGAGTAGTCTAAGTCTTTGGATATAAATGAATCGCTATCTCCCATTTTGGTTGTTTAGTGGACTAGCTTTGATCTATTTTGTCGCGTTAAATTGTGTTCTAAAGTATTTTATTTTATTTAAGTATTTTATTTAAGTGACATTTTATCGCGTTAGGATTATTGGGATTGGAGTAAAGAGGTACATGGAGAGCAAGAGAGATGGAGACTGATTCATTAATCCTTTTAAATATGATCTGTTCCTATCTTGAGTTAATTGTATAAAGTATAAACAGACATAAGCAAGGTAATATTGTGCCACAATTTATAAGTAGATATATAAGTTGCTAGCTGGTAATAATTAAAATTATTGGTAGCTGATTGATAGGGGGCCCTATCATCCTGGAAGAATGATACAATATGCATGTATATACGTATGTGACGTTCATATCCAAATGAGTCAAAGATTTACTAGTTTTGCTTTGCAGTTATAACGGACTAGCTCAATTTGGCTCATTAAACTGTACTGCTTATACAGCTATATGTATGTGTGTGTGTGTAGAATACAAAAAAATGTCCCAACCAAAACTAGACACCCTCTATTTGATGCACCATGATTTTTCACAAAATCAAATTATTATTGGGGGAGGGGAGAGAAGGAGAAAAGGAATACCTACAAAGACAGGAGGTGCCTCCTCTTCGCCATCTTCCTTCCAAAATTTAACTTTACGGAAGAAGATCTCAGTACTTCCCTTTGGCACATCCCCACGATCTGTGTAAACATACATATGAAAGCACAACATCAATATATATCTGCAAGAATTGGCAAACTAAGGTTCTTTTGCATGCCATAATCACAGCACAGTAACAAGGATAAAAGTGAAAAAGAAAACGAATGATGAGAAATCACAAAGGCTGTCTTCCAAGGAGATAAATAAAGAAGCTAAGCAGAGCACTATCATCCCAAGAAACACAAGGCATCCGTATTCCACAGAAATGAATAAACCGATAAACTTGTTGGTTGGTAAGACCAAAAGCCTAAGTGCCTAATTGTTACACTATGTATTTCAAAGACTAATACGAACCTAACCCTATATATTCCACAAAATTAAGCCAATTCCTGTTATTCCGAACTCACCAAATAAATCGTGAAAGAAAGTAAATATAAATTCAGGATGTAAGTTTATCGAGAATTTCTAACTACCTAGATCACAAGGGGGAATGAGCAGATGTAGAGACACTATGTTCCCAAACTTCTCATACTACCTAATCTACTATTATCTCTCAAGAAGCACCCAAGTTCAAACCTTTGCCAAATTATGAACTTAAATGCACAAGTGTAAGACTTGATCCTTTATGAATGATCACAAAGAGCCTCTGATCATTAACATCAACTCAATACAATCATTAAAATAAAACCCAAATAATCTTTCACTAATCACCATTTACTAACGACTCTTCGAAACCTCGATACAATCATCCAAAATCAACCTCTCGCATCACAATACATACAATGCATGACAAAAGGACATTTCTTACCACATCACGCTGAAATCTATCAGCTAAATCTGAATCACTTGACTAATCAATTGAACAACAGACTGATCAACCAAATTCGAGCAATTCTTCTTCATTAAACAATATAGAATAACTCAAATAATCAGCTTAACCACAATATAAATAACAATTTTATAAATGCAAAAATCAATATCAATTACAATTCATCAAAACTTCGGATTACATCAATCAAAATTACCAACCATCAAAATCTACCAGAAATCGAATAGGTCGTAGAAATTGACAATGATATAACACAAAAATTAACAATTAAATCACAGATCTTAGATTAAATTCAATGGAAATTGACTGTAATCGAATGATTAACAGATCTAGGCGAGGAGAGAGAAACTTACAGTCTCGGAAGACGATGTTATCGCCACGTTGAGAGAGAACGAAGAACTGTGAGATCATTTTCGTCGCTTTGAATCTCAGCAATCTGAATTGTTGTAATCTGGTATCTGCTGTTAAAGACTGTAATTTGATGAGCTTCTTCTTCCCCTCGTCTTATTTGGGTTTAGCCGGACTTATATAAGACGAAGTAAATTTGTTTGCACTTGGGAGAGATGTGCAAAGGAAAAAAAGAGTGTAGTCGGGAGTTTAATTTCTTAAGCATTTTTTTTTTTTTGTCTATAGGAAAAGGGAAGCTCTATTTGATAACAATTAAGTTTTAACTTTTCTTATGGTGGATTTGGAAAAAAAATATTATCGTTGGTAGTCTTGTATTATTGATTACTAAAAATAATTATTATTTTAGCTTAAATCATTAATCATGATAAGTTTTTATTTGGGAAATTATCAATATACCCTCCAGGTTTTGACTTCTATCAATGATACACATCATTAAACTTTCGTTATCACCGGTACACCTAAACTTTTCCCTAAATACCTACCGTGACCTTGACCGTTAACTAAACGTTAATGAATCCACAGCAACCGAGTCCTTAAACACTGGCAATCTGGCATTGGCCCTTGAAGCATGTTATTGGTCAAGTTCACAACAGCTAGAGACTCTAAACTCATCAAAGACGGCGGAATAACTCCAGTAAATTTATTATCCCTAAGGCTCAACAGAAGATCCTTCAATCCTGAAAAATCAGGCAATGGACCAGAAAATGCATTCTGATGCAACCAAACTTCCTTCAAAGCAGTCATGTTCTGAATCACATCAATCCTCCCATTAAGCCTGCCAACACTTTTCTGCCCATTAACCCACAATGACTGAATTTGAAACCCATCAAAGCTCCTAGGCAATCCTCCTTCCAAATTATTAAAGCTCAAATGCAAATGCACCAAACCCGGAAACGAATCCGGCCCGAAAAAAATCAGGTATTACCCCAGTCACATTAGCAGAATTAGCAGAAAAATTCTGAAGTGTTGAAGCATCTTTCAAGGATTCAGGAATTTCCCAACCCTCAAAAGGGTTATTATCAAGATCAACAGACTGAAGTACAGACAACCCAGTAAACAAATCACTAGGAATTGAACTAAAATTATTATTACTAATCATTAAAACTTGCAATGAACTTAATCCACTTAAACTAGGAAAAGGGCCTGAAAATTTATTCCATTGAACTTCTAACCTTTCAAGAGAAGTTAAAGAAGAAAGACTAGCAGGGAGAGTACCTTCCAAGTTCTGGTGCCCAATTTAAATCCTAGTCACTTTTTTTTCCTGGTTACAACCCACATGGGTCCATTTACAGGGATCTGGGTCGGACCATCCAAGTGATTCGGGTGGGTTATTCAAGTTCTTCCTCAAAGCTAAGAGCATGTTTAATGGAGGGGATTCATGAATCCCCTTAATTCTTCTCTCTCCTTCTCTCCTTTTGACACATCATTTCTCTTTCTTCCACATCATTTTCCACTATCTCCATCCTCTTCCTCTTCCTCTTCCTCTTCCTCTTTCTTTATTTTTTCCCACAACAAATGGGATTCATGAATCCCCTTCCTTTCTATTTATGCCCCACCAACTTCTATTTTAGATATTTGTAAATTTAATATGACAAATTATTATAATTAGATTAATGACAATTTTAATATAATACAAAAATGTACAATTAATGATAATTTAAAATACATAATTAGTAAATAGAACAGTTGTCATGCATATAAAATAGTTAAAAAGGAACGTTGCAATACATTATGTAAAAAGACAATTCATGAAATTCGGAAACATAAAAATACATTAAAAGCCGATAATTGAAAAACGAGAAACTAAATCATAAATACGTTTTATCTTTAAGGTGAGTTGACAAAAGTGCTCCCAAAACTAGCCCATATATGTTCCAGCAAATCATTCTTCAAAGATGTATTAATTTGTTTATCACAAAGATTTTCTCGTGTAGCCATCAATGTAGCTAAATTTTGATCTTTATAACGCCCAGGGGTAACGGTGAAAGTTGTTGCTCCTCTCCTTGATGATCCTGCTAGATTCTCAGGTTGTTCGGTGGAAAATTCCGTTGGATCCCAATAATTCATGTAATTATCGCGCTCGTCTTCTACAATCATATTGTGCATGATAATACACGCCATCACGATTTTCCATAGCATTTCGACACTCCATGCCAAAGCCGGATGTCTAATTATTGCAAATCGAGCTTGTAGCACACCAAATGCACGCTCAACATCTTTTCTAATACTCTCTTGTTTGATTGTAAACAACTTCTGTTTAGGGGTTTGTGGGGAGGTAATAGCGGAAATAAATGTTGCCCATTTTGGATAAATCCCATCTGTGAGATAATATCCTTGGTTATAGGTATTTCCATTCACAGTGAAATTAACTTGTGGAGCTCGACCATTTAAAATATCGTCAAAGACGGGAGAACGTTGAAGAACATTTATATCGTTACATGTCCCTGGCGTGCCAAAAAAGGCATGCCAAATCCATAAATCCCAAGAAACAACAACTTCTAAGATCACCGTTGCCCTTTTAGATCTTCCTTGATACATTCCTTTCCATCCAGCTGGACAATTTTTCCACTCCCAATGCATGCAATCGATGCTCCCCATCATGCCAGGAAAACCCCTTTCTTCCCCTTATTTAAGGAGACGAACAAGATCTTCGGCGTTTGGCTTCCGCAGGTATTTTGTTGAGAATTCATGAATCACTCCATCAACAAAGTGTATAAGACATTCTCTTGCCGTACTTGCCCCAAGTTTTAGATACTCATCAATTTGATCAGCTGGGCTACCATATGCTAACATTCTCATTACTGCGGTGCATTTTTGAATTCCAGAAGCACCCAGTCGCATTGTGGCATCTGGATGTTGTTGAAAAAATCTATCAGTTGCACTCAACGTATTCACTATCTTCATGAATAGAGGTTTTCGCATACGAAACCTACGTCAAAACTTTTCATCGCCGTATAATGGATGGTCACTAAAGTAGTCTGTAACTAACCGATCATGTGCTCCTTCACGATCTCTTGGAACGATCCACCTTGACATTTTTTCACGTCGTGAACCATGAACTTCTTGTTCTTCTACATCGGTGTTAACAACATATCTTACTGTATCCTCTATCACTTCTTGTTGTCGATTTTCCTCAATAAAATCTAACAACATGGAAACGTATATTTCATCACTAGAAGTAGAAGAACTAGAATCAAAATTCATTTTACAATTTTTTGATAATATTTGTATAAAACTGAATGTTAGTATTTGTATGACAATGATAGAATTATATGTGAATGAAACTGGTCAATATATAGACAATATGATCCACATGAACTAAGTAATAATGCAAGAGAATATTTTGGTAACACATTTCAAAATTTGAATTATGAGATGTATGTCAGAAGATTAGATTTTTGCATGACAATAATCTATAGCTTTGCAGAGATATGTATGGATTTACAGAAAAGTTGACATATGAAGTAGATGTATCAATGCATGAAGTGACTACACACTGAATTTTGTTTTTTGTTTTTTACCACTCCTAATAATAATAATTACAAATTAATAATAATAACAGTCATAATAATAGTAATTATAATAGTAAACATTACAATATAATTAAACATATATTAAAAACATTACAAAATAAAAACTAATACATTAAAAAAAATTAAAATAAATTCAGAAATAAATAAAACATTAAAAAAAACTAATACATTAAAAACATGAAATAAATAAAACATTAAAATAACATATAAGAACAACAACTTCATAAGAACCTATTACTAAATTCCTCTCTAAGCTTCTTGTACATTTCTACCTCAAATTCATCAAGGTTAGGTTTCATCATCAACATATTTAACATTTTGAACTTCATCTCCTCTTCCTTTTGCCTTTTCCTTTCTTCATCTCGCTCTCGTATTAAGGCCATCATTCGTTCTCCTTGGTCATACCTCTTGTCACTACATTCTGCAAGAGTTGTATTGAACGAATCAAGGTTTATAGATGAAGACGAAGAACCAGATTCCGTTGCTAGTCTCTTCGTCTTTTTTATGCCATCTGGTCGAGTTCGTGGTTTTCCACCTTCAACAGTTGGTGATTCTGGTTCAGATCGTTTTTCACTTCCTCCGCTTTCAGCAGGTAATTGCATGACCTCATTCGGATCCCATTTTGGAAAAGTTTGCATAACTTCAAAACAATGTTGTAAATGGAAATGTTTACCTTTGTTCGCCATTGCAAAAGCATTGTGTGCACGTTTTTCAACATCTGCATCTGATTGTCCACTCTTCAGATGTCGTATCTCGTAACTGTATACCTCTACCCACTTGTTCACATTCGAATTGATGTGATCCCAACGTTGTTGTAAGGACTTAGTATTCCTCGTCTTCTGGAGCTCATCAGGATTTGCAAGTCGTGCTTGTTCGTACAATTTACAAGCTGCAGCCCAAAATCCAGCCTTAGTCCTTTTTGTATTTTTTGTAACATTTCCCCCGGCGTTGATGTAAGCCGAAACAAGTGCGTTATCCTCTGCTACACTCCATGAATTCCTCGGCATAGTCTCTCCAGGAGAAACTTCAACGACAACATCATCAAGATCCTCTAGATGTTGTGCTTCTCGTACCTCTTCAGTTGGAGTTGCGTTCGTGCTACCATCTCCTCCCGGAGAATGGTCCATAGGTTGGGTAAAATGTTGAGACATGGGAAATAATGGACTATGTTGAGAAAAATGTTGGTGATATTGGGTTGTATCATTTGGATTCATTGGTCTTGGTTGATTACCAAACCATTGTAAGGCAGCTTGAAATTGAGGATTATTGAGGATATTTGGATCAAAAGGAGGATTATTTGAATTATTTTGAGAGTTTGGAATATTTTGAAAATTCAAATTTCTTCTTAAATTTGGATTATTTCGATCCATATTGAAAGATAAAATGTAATGACTTAAATTGAATATGAGTGAGATTAATAGGAAAATGAGAGAAAATATGGAGAAAATGAAGATTTTGAAAATATGGCAAATTTAGGTTCATTTTATAGAGAAAAAAAAAATATAACCGTTGGTATTTTTTTTTTAAAAATAAGTTACCGTTTTTTTTATTACCGTTTGAAAATTTATAACCGTTGTAAATATCAACCAATGATAAAGCAACAAATGTCAGCAAAACCAACAAACAAGTGGGCCCCTGCCAGCCCAAACGGCCAGCAGGAGTGTGCCACATCGCTGCTGCTGGTCCAACTTTTTTTTTAATCTTTTTTTTTTTCTTTTTGTTTTTTTCCCCACCTTTTCCAATCCCCTTCCCTATTTCATCATCCTCTTCCCAAAGAGGATTAACCACATTCCTCTTGTTAAGAGGACTCCAACATTTATGTCTACAATGGAGGGGATTCCTCTTAAGAGGAGAGAGAAGGCTAAGAGGAGAGTGAATCCCCTCCATTGCACTTGCTCTAACATAACTGAAGCATCATCTGAACTTGCTTCAGAAAAAACTACAATATTACAGAAAATGGAAGGGAAATTTGGAGGGAAATTAACCTTTAAAACGCTGAACAGAGCTTCATCAACGTTTAGTTAACGGTCAAGGTCACGGTAGGTATTTAGGGAAAAGTTTAGGTGTACCGGTGATAATGAAAGTTTAATGATTTGTATCATTGATAAAAGCCAATACCTAGGGGGTATCATTGATAATTTCCCTTTTTATTTTTTTAACAATTAAAATAATTTTATTAAAAACAAAATCACCCCTCCACCGACCAGCACCCAACCCCATCTCTGACCGGCCCAACCCCAGCCCCTTTCCCAATGCCAGCGACCCACCCTCAAACCCCCTTCTGTGCCGACGACCTACCCTCCCCCTTTCCCCCACCTCGTCACCCACTCCCTCTCCCTTCCCCCACCATGAAACCAACCCTTTATCGACGGAGTGGTTTCAGATGTAGGTGGGGGTGGGGATGAGGGTGGTGTCGACGAACTAAGGTGGGGGTGGTGGTCTCAGTTCAAATCGGGGTGGGGGAGGTTTTAGGGATGAGGGTGAGGTGGTGCTTTCTGAAGTGATGGCTAATTAGGTGGTGGGTGGGTGACTTGTTTTATTTAATTTGATTTTTTTTTGGTGGGTCGACAAGCAGAGCAGGGTGGCTGGGGTAGGGTTGTCGGCATAGGAGAGGTCTGGAGGTGGGTCGACTAGCGAGGAAAGAGGGGTGCATGGGGTGGGTGGTTTTTTTTTAAAAAAAAAATAATCTAACTATAGTTAAAGATTTAATAAAAATTATCATTAATGTTATAAGTAAATTAATACAATAATTCATGGTTATCAAAGATAATAAGTTTTTTTACTATTCACCAAAGAGAAAATTAAAAATAAAGTGTTACTAAAGATCATTTCTTAAACTAATTTTTGAGATCGGCTAATACCCTGCGTTATTATATGAATAATAATTTGTAATTCCGTACTCCGTATTACATAAAGATCATGATTGAATCTCACTTTTATTATCTTTTTATCATTACACTATCCTTTATTGATACTACGGAGTATTGTTTTTGTAAATAACGTATTAAGTCTAATTAAACCTATACTACATGGCATAAGGACTTGTTTAGGAACCAATGTTAACCAACTAGTCTTTTGTCTCCTCGTAATGTTTGTACTAGTTGTTCCCAAGTTTTATGTTCTCATATTATCCGTTTAGCTTTATTTTATATTCTTTGAATGAATGAGCAAAAATGATAAAATGATCACATAAAAAAACTAAAAAATTGGGTACACATTACACCTAGAAGGGCTAGAGTTAAGTACTTAGTTGCATCCAGGACAAAGATAAAGGTACTACGTATTTAGTTTGCCCTATTTTCTTTCACGTTTGTTCCTCAAAGTCTGTCATATGGTCATAGATAGGAGACCACAATTTTACTTTCATGCCCATTATACTTCATACTTGATCCCACCACTTTTCTCTCTCATTGACTCCTTCCAATCTAAATTATAAAAACTTACTTCACAATCCCACCACTTTTCTCTCTCAACTTATTGAGTTATTGACTACCCTATTGTGGTAAACCACAAACAAAAGTGGTGGGATCAAGTAAATATGAAGTATAATGGTCAAAGTGGTGGGATCAAGTATAAAGTATAATGGGATCATATTAGTAGCTCATTAACTCAACTCTTGGTCCTCGATATGTTGCGAATTATATATGCACTTTTATCATATAAAAGATCCAATGGTATTACTCCAAGGATGTTAAAGATTTATTACACTGAAAATAACACAACTTCAACTTTATGTTGTCATGATATTATTACATGTTCTTTGTATACCATATGTTATTAAGCAAAGGGTTGCTGGGAGTAGCAATCTAAGTTGTTTCCATAGCTTACTCCCAAGATATCACAATACCTCTTATAAAACCCAATACGATCAGCCACCTTATCATTTTGGCCTTTACCACATTCTTTCCCACCATTGATGATATTAGTAATCACGCCATAACCTGGGACACGGCCTGCAGCCTGGTCCGCTGCTGATGGGTTCCACCCTCCAACGATGACATTGTGGCACGAGGGCTTGTTGCCTTGTGCTGTCATCCAAAACCATACTGCTGTCTTGAATGATATGGTAGCGTCAGTGGCTACTAAATCCGGGTTGTTTATAAGGTCAGCTTTTATGGCTTTACCTGCTAGATCATAGTTGTAGTTGCTGCACAAGTCATGCAACAATATAAGCGCCTATGTAGTCAATTGCATAGAAAAAAATAGTTATATTGTTTTAATAATTTGTTGTTGCAACATAAACAAAGCTAGTATCAATCACTCAAAGCTTTAATTCCATAAGTGGGGTCGGTTGTAAAAAAAGCTAATACTTACTGGGTTAATTGGATGGGGCCTCTTCCGTAGTACATTTTACCCGCAGGACATGGCGAACCAGGGTCACAATAAGCTGGTGGGTTGCCCTGTTCTCTGAGAAAACAGTAACCCCAAGAATATGGGCCATCTGGTGCAGTAGCCCATCCTCCTGAAAGTAAAATACACCCAGTAAAATTGCGTTTATTATAAACGGTTTAACACTTTACGAGAGAATACATTAATTTATTTGGTAAGCGACACTGATCCTCCGTATATATTAAGCAATATAAGACAAAGACAATGTATATTTCTTCATAAACTTTTCGTTGTCAATCTTACTCACTCAATACTTAATAATCATTTATTTGTGTGAATTGTGTCAATTGAATAAGTGAATATGTATACAACTTGGTTTGGTTAGAAAAAGATGTTCTTTTGTCGAAAATAAAAAACAAAAGAAAAAGATGTTTCTTTGTGAATAATAAAAACAACTTGCATGACTCATTTACTCTAAGCAATTGATCTGACCAAGATACTGTATTACAAATAAATGTCACTTTTGGTTTCAATTGATTACAGTTTGATAGAGTGAAAGTAATTTTTTTTATTTATTGCTCCACCGACAGCGAAAAAAAATTATGAAGTATTCATATTCCTAAATAATAGACCACATATGATTTAAAAGATCTTGGCATAAGGTTTTATGAATTGATTGAATTCATTAATATAGAGTCCTTTTTGTGTTGGTTAGATCATAAAATAAAGAAGTTTCTAAGATTATGAGCAATGAACCAAATTAAATGACTAACCAGTAGTTTCATGAGAGGTTTGAGCAAAGAAAGCAGCGAGCTCTCTTTTGCGAGTAGTAACATCTCCAGTAGTGCCAAACCCATTGAAAGAACGGGCAGCAGCAATGAAAGCATTATAGGTGTAAAACCCGCGACCAGGGCAGCTATTTTCATTACGGTGTTTAAGCATTTGATCAAAGAGGGCAGGGGTGATGATTGACCCAACATCCCCAGAGGCTGAGGGTGTTGGTGTGCTGGGACTAGAGCTGCCTGGCGTACACTGGCTTTGACAGCCAGTCCCGCAATAAGGAGTGGTAGTCCCGCACCACCCGTGTTGGCTACAACAAAGGCCGTTGGGGCATAGTGCACCACCGGCCTGTGTACCACATTGCTCAGCTGATATTATTCCTAGGAAGCAAGGCAAGAAAATGAGAACACAGGTTACATAGGATTTCATGTTTATGGTGTAATAATGTGCTCTTGGTGAAATTGGAAGGGTGTTATGTGTGTTATATAGGGCAAGCTACTGAATTTTCTTTCACTATGATATGTTGAATTGAAATGGTCAAGCTTGAGTGGCTGCTACGTACGTAATTAATTAAGCTACAAATTATAGCATCTTGCTTGTGGAAGTTTGTACAAGAAAATATGTCACCCATTATGAGGTCATAATCCAAAAATACAAGCTAATACTATTTTGAAGAAAAGTCTACGGACAAGTGGATACCAATATGACAATATCTCACATAAATCAAGATTACTAGATTAGGCATTACTATGAATAGCAAATGATACTTATGCACCTTATCACAAGTCGTCACTTCCACGTCGTGCATGAACGGATCACTACAATGTGAACATGTAGGTCATTTAATGACCTATTATGCCATCAGTCATTTGGAAAAAAAAAAAATTTAACAAAGATCCTACCAAACCAACACTTTTTATAAGTCAAGAGGCTCAACACTTAAACATAAAGGCGAAGGTAAGATCGAGAATCTTTAAATTGTAGGGCTCGAATTTGTGGCCTCAAATTCACAAGGTAAGTTTTCCACCATCTCCACCAAGCATGCTTATTTAATGCATACCAGCAATAGCCCATAATTATATGAGATACCATGACACTAATCCAAAACATAGCTATTTATCTCACGAGATCAGACTTAGTCCAAGAGGGCAGTCACACACTCACACAGCATGCAATTGCTAATTGGTTCTGTTTATCTAAGAAAAGGCTGCATTTTATATTCAATGAAAACTAATTCATTTCAATGTCAGTCTAATGCTCTACTTTTTCTAAACCTTTAGTATTTGAAAGTTTGCAGAAGTACAAGCCAGATGAGGCAAAAACGCTGTGTCATTGAACAGTAAAGAAAAGAAAAAAAAACAAATTAATTAAGATGTTAGACATCAACTAAACTTTCATCAATGGAAGCATTTCACTCTTTGGTTGTTCTACAACAAAAGGCTGCTAAATGAATAGAATAATACAGCTCAAATGCCCCTATCAAAGCTAACTACAATCCTTTGCTCTCCTGGTTATTCTCACCAAGCACTGCAAATTTCAGAGAGATCGCCAACAACTGCTTGAGATTAGAATAACACTACCAAATAAGAAATTCAATCACTATAACAATGATGAGGAAGAAAGAAAGGATAATGAAGACGGAGACTAACATCAGAACTGCCATGACCAATCAACTCCAGGTTCATCAAAAGTTCCCAAGAATTTCTCTACATTTCTTTTACTATTTACTTCTATACTATCATCAATGAGAAGGGCAAGACCAAAGAGGCAAAATTGCTTGCCAAAAGCATGGAAGATGAGAAAAAGGTCCAGGATTTCCACAATGGTTACAAAACGGTACCTGCAAATTTCAAGAGGCATCGCAGAAATGAATAAATCATTGTTTATGAATCATGATACTGCAGATTATATGGTTTTGGGGTAAATGTACCTTGATTGCAATTATTTAGTTCACTTCACAACAGATAAAACCTGACCATTTTTTAGAAAGGGTGAACCGGAAGGAGCTGTGAGGCCAAGATCCTGCATTACTTTCAATCTCCGAGCACTTCCATCAGGCTTTTTAGGAGTGTCATCCTGAAACATCAACCATAGAGAAAAACAAATGTGACCTTATTGCCAGAATTATCAAAGAACTTGTCAGGTTAAGTCTTATATGAAGTAGTTTCTCCATAGCTGTGAGTTTGGTTAACAGATCGATCGTCATCTATACAAAGTTAACAACTCATGATCAATTGTCTGAAAGAAACTACAAGTAGATAAAAATGTACTTACATCGTGCTCTTCAAATCCTCTTTTAGAAGATACTGGTTTTTCCTTGTGTACACTGTCATTCCCTGCATTAGTTTTCCATGTATTGACATCTATCAATCTCTAACATAGAATATAAAGCTTTTCCAAAACAAATTAACATGCAGTATTTCAAAGTTATTATGGACACAACATGTCACAGTATATCAACTAATAAATGCAATCTCGAGAAATCATGACAACGCACATTTGTTACACATAAAAACACGCTTGCAAACAATGAAGCATTCATTATTGTCAATTTGTCAGGAATATGTTGTTCTCTTTCTAATATGAGACATTATACAAACATTACATAGATCCCCCTACTCCCCTTCCAGCCAACTACGAATCTTCAGAACTCTAAGCTGCTGAAAAGAAATTTCTCATACATAATGAAAACTTGTGCATGTTATCTCAGCATTTTGTCTTGTCATTAATCACTTATCTCAGTGCTGCTCAATATTAAACCCAGGATACTCTCAATAAGGGCAGACATGCAAGTTGCATCCCAACCAAGCAGCAACATAGCCAACTTCATAGAATGCAGTTTACAAATTTGAAAAATATTTCACTCAATTGTCTGGAATTATGGACAACAAATGAAAGATGAACATTAAAAATTAAAATTGATGAATAATTAAACTGTAAAATTGCACTCCGTTCACGACAATCTAGAGATGCTAATAGAAAATGATTGAAAGGAAATGTTCGTATTCTTTTAACTTTTACATATATAGATACTATACTCAACTAGGAGGAGGTAGAAGAGGTAAAGCATATCTTTCATTGCTCATATTAACTACAAATATATAATAAAATACCCTTGGGGACTTGGATAGCCTCAAGGTGAGCAAACTTTCTAAAAAGCTCACTTGACCAAAAGCCATTTTGAGTCTGAACAACCACCACCACTAAAACACATCTTGCAGCAGTCTTTCACGCCAAAACCAATATATTACGATGTTTGCCCAACTAATACCAAAGCGAACTACCAAATCTAACCGTCATTTTATACAAAACATTACATAAATTTGTTTCTGACAATAACTCGACAATTCTTTTCAGGCAATACTAAAACTACAGCTCAACAAACAAATTGGCCAAACATCAAACCTCCCCTACCCTAGAAAACAAGAAAAGAAGACATGGGCAAAAAAATTCAACAGAGAACTGTCAATTACAGATTCAGCTAACCTTTGGCCTTGACCTTCCGTGTGTTGGTTCTCCCAGATTGTAACTCAGAAAGGTCCTATTATCACGTTTAGTTAATGAAATAATTCAATTAAGGCAAAACATATACTACTATCAGATAAATTTTACCTAAACAGACATAAATAACAGATAAAACTACCTGATCCAAAGCCTTCTTAAACATCTCCCTTTGAGTACTATTATTTCGCTTTAGTACCTGAGAGATTAACAATCAACAAAGAGAAGTGAACAAGACAGTCAATGCATTAAGTGACATTTGGTGGGCACTATTGAATAGTCAAGAAGTATAACGACATCAATTTTTTATTAATAAATTAAGGGGATCAAAAAAATATCACCTTTAAGCCTTTAACAAAGATTAGGAATTAAAACTCACATTAGTAAACTCCAAGAGACTTTTCACAGGGTCCATGTGCAGGCTGCAAAACAGTCAAATTGGGGTTTAATAATAGATGTTTCATGAAATGCTCAACAGAAAACTGAAAGTCAAGAAAAAAAAATACTTACTACTTATATGTTCCATATAGGCGCACAAGAACTTCACCACTTTTTCCCTTGCGAGGTTTAGCATTATCACTTACTGCATTCCCATCCACAATCTATTTCAAGAGCATGTAGAAGTAGAAATCAGCCTGACAATCATGGAAAATTACAAAAAGAAATTGAGACAAGCAAATGTACTTGCGCAGGCCACCATGAAGTTCCACGAAGCTTGATCCACGTTATGTCTCCTGGTCTGAACTCAGCATAGGACTGTTTATCCAGATCTCCATTCTTTCCCCTTTCATCATGTCCCTTACCATTTGCAAGACCTCCCTTTCCCATTTTTTAACTTAGTATGCAAAATTACTGGGCTACACAAACCAATGCACAATACACGAGAAAGTGCGAGCACTCAATGACCTAGAATTTATAAGGAATAGCACCCAAGAGAAATGTGTTTAAGCACATTACTAAGCTGGTCTTTTAAGAGAGCCCCTACACTTCAGACAAATCATATTAGCATTAACAGTTGCTAATCCAATAAATTATCTATATGAAACAACAAAACCTCACAAGGTTAAAGGAGAATACTACAATGTAGCATTTATTAAGTGACTATAAAGCTCTCAAGGGACTTCAAACTTATTAAAAAAAATTGTCGAGGAGCACAGAAAGAAAAACTATTATAAAAAAATGACTCCATAAACATAAGCAAAGGATTGTAAGATATTGAAATATGTCATACACCAAAATGACACCACAACACGTAATCACTCCACCCGCCAACACTATAAAAAAAAAAATTCTAAAACTGGGAAAGAAGAAAGGGACAATTTCCACAATTACAGTTAGGGGAAGCAAACTTCCCTAAAAAACGTGATCCCTAACCCAACAGAATCTACTCTTTATCAAACAAAAGTGGTGCAATGATCTACCAAATTCCCAAGCATTAAACAATTAAGCCCAAGATTTCTTGATCTCTTTTCAAATTAAACCCCATTATCTATATTGATCTTATCAACCAGGAGAAACGAGAAGCTAACTAAAATATGGCAAAACCAACAAAACCCCAATTAATTATACTATATGTTGACCATTATTAAGGCCACCTAATAGGCTAATAGTTTAAGTTAGGAATGGTAACACACATTTCCTTGATATGTAACAAACATTTCCTAGATATGGTATTGGACTATTAATATTCCTATCGAGCAAATTGCAAGAAGTTTTGGCCTTTGATCAGCACACGAATAAGGAGCGACTCACCAGGCTCAGACTGGGTCCCGGGAAGAGAATGGCTATAATCCCCCCCCCCCTATTCCTCAACCGCCTCTGAATCCAATTTAAAAGACAACCACCCCCCCCCCCTCTCTCTTTGTCTCCTAAACAATAGGTGCACTAAAATTTACACTCACTCCCAATGAATAGGCCAAGTTTCCAGATACATCTAATCAAAGCTAGAAACTTCTTATGAATTGGCACATTTAGTACAAACTCTCAACAAAAATGCTTCAAAGTACAAACTTTCCTCGTTCGGACGTTTCGTAGCAGACAAAATCAACTCAACCCCACAATCACATAACACAGAACCAATAAAAAGTACAAAAAAAATTCATGAAAGCAGAAGTTAAACGGCAGCAATTCAGCATAAAACTACAACAATTGGTTTATAAGATAACCCAATAACAAGTTTTTTCACATCATTCTAGCAGAAACAGTAAATTTGCGTATAAAATTATCTGGGAAATTCAAACATAAAAATCAGCATGCAATTTGCAACAATTGCAAGAATTGAAGAAAGGGTGCTTACCAAATAACCAAAGGAAGAAAAACCAGCAGACGAAAGTGCCCAGATGAAGAGAGAGAAAAAGGGGGTGAATTTAATTTTAATTTATTAAGGGGGAAGAAGCATTGAAGAAGGGAATCTTGAAGGTTGTGAGAGTGTGAAGGCGTGGTGTTTGTTGTTGAGAAGTGAGAAAATGGGGGTTTTTACAGATTAGCGATTACTAGCAGAGTAAGGAAGCTCTCTGCTGACTTTGACATTCCCAGTGAATTGTCTCATCGCGGCATTATTTCATTCGGAGTGGAATCGGAGAAACTAGAGTCACTGTTTCTGCCGCTCCTTGATAAAACTGACTCGTACTCGATTAATTAGTGTATTTCATACCTAATCATTGAATAAGACTGACTCGTACTCGATTAATTAGTGTATTTCATACCTAATTTATCACTCCCTCTATTTTTAAATACTTGATCCATTATTCTATGTGCGGAGTTTTAGGAAAAATTGAAAAAAGTAATTAAATATGGAGGTAGTGGGGTATGTGGAAGAATAAAAAAAATTATAAAAAGCAAAAGTAGTTAAGAGAATTGGAAGAGACTAGAGAGAGAATATGAAATTAATAAAATATGATTTAGGTTGGATCCACTAGTTGAGAAAAATGAATTAAATATTCTAAAGTTTTCCAAATAATTTAAGGAAATGAAGCAAGTATTTGAAAACGGCCAGAAATAAAAAGTGGAACAAGTATTTAAAAACGGAGGGAGTACTATTATGAAGTACATTGGATAAGACTGACTCGTACTCGATTAATTAGTGTACTTCATACCTAATTTAGTACTATTACGAAGTACACTGAATAAGATTGAGTCGTACTCGATTACTTGGTCTTACTACACTGGATAAGAATGGCTTATACAAATTACTTGGTTATTCGATCTTATTACACCATATAAGAATGACTCAATGACTCGTACTTGATTACTCTGTCTTATTTAAGTCGTATTACACAAGATAAAAATAGCTTTATTTTATTTTTAAGAAAATGTAATTTAGAAATAAAATGAGGTTGTTTATGTCTAAAAAATACTACTCCATACATTAGTAGGAAAATCCTTGACATGAATAATTTTTTTTAAAATTTTCGAAATACAAGAAGAACAAAAGAAAACGGAAAGAAATCAAACCTCGATCACAACATTTAAATAAAAAATAAAAATACAAAAAACTTATACAACCAAATTAGGATACCAAATTAGGATCGATTAATAAACAAGTTTAAGCCGAACTGTTATATCTAATTGAGCGAATGAAAATGTTTTTGTTCGTTTATAAATTATTATTTAAAAAAAAAAATCTCGCTCTAGTTAAAAAAAATAAAATTAAAATATTAGATAATAATTTCTTTTAAGGTTAGAATAGTTAGACCACGTAGTTTATATATCACCACAACTTCGCAAAGATAACTTTGATTACATAATTTATGTATAGAAAATTATGTAACTAAGCAAGGCTAAAAAAAATGAGAATCAATTAATGTAATTTCTTACATTCTGAAAAGTTCGACTCACATAACATTCAGGTTCTCCAATGCACATATTTGACTGTAATTTTCAATTTGGTATGGATGAAAATTGGAGGGAAAAAAAAAAACAAAACAAAAAAATACAATTCACTACTTTTATAACAAAAATCACTCTCTCCATCTATTATATCTACAAATGTTTTATTTACATTTTATTTTTCTTAACAAATTCTCTACTTTTTATTATTTTTCTATACATAAAGATGAAGCTATTTTATTTTAATTTGACAAAATATAAAGCCAAGACTTTATACATGGAATCAATAAAAAAAAATTATAGTAACATTAATTATTTAATTGTAAATTTAATTTTATAATGATTAAATATGAATGGGTTAAAAATAAATAAAAAATAAAAAGCAAATAATATTAGAATGTAGGTTGCATTATTGCTCTTATGAAACTAAGGAAATGGAAATAGTAACATTAATTATTTAATTGTAAATTTAATTTTATAATGATTAAATATGAATGGGTTAAAAATAAATAAAAAATAAAAAGCAAATAATATTAGAATGTAGGTTGCATTATTGCTCTTATGAAACTAAGGAAATGGAAATAGTAACATTAATTATTTAATTGTAAATTTAATTTTATAATGATTAAATATGAATGGGTTAAAAATAAATAAAAAATAAAAAGCAAATAATATTAGAATGTAGGTTGCATTATTGCTCTTATGAAACTAAGGAAATGGAAAAAAAAATAATAATAATTGTTAATCAAAACTAAAGAAATGATAAAAAAAAATAAAAAATAAAAAATAATTTTTTTTTTATTAAAAAAAAATGTTAATCAATTAATGGACAGCAAAAAGTGAAAAAAAAAAAAAAAAAAAAAAATTAATTGAAACTTCCTTTGTGTTTCTTTGAACCCATTAGTTTATCACACATTTCAATTTGTTCTTTGATCGGCAAATCTTTAGTCTTGCAGTATCAAAAATTAAAAAAAATTATTTATTACTTGGGTGGCTAACGCGGCATAACTAGCAATATTTGAGAAGTTTTTTTTGGTTTGGCCTTACAGCTTTAGTTGTTAGTAGCATTAATGAGGGGAAATATGTTAACAAATATTTTTAGGGATATAAATGTCCACACACTATTATTAAGAGTTTAAAAAAAGAGCTAATTTATATCAATGGGGGCAATTAAGTAAATAAACATTTTAGAGGGTATAATTGTTCAACCACTGTTCATAAGAGTTATTCATACTTTTTAAAAGGTAAGGATTTTGAAAATTAAAATATAAGGCGAGGTGGTTTTATTATGCTAAATCCTAATTATTGTTTTTCTTGCATATTGATAATAATTCGTGGTCAAATTTTAAACACTATAATCGACATTGGTGGAACTAAATTTGATTTAAACTATTGGCACTTATTAAATAAAGGGTTTGGGCTGCACCTACAATAAAGAGACAAAGTTCACTTCACATGTGCAAAGAGATCATCCCAAAACCATATGACAATAGGAGGAAGAAACCCTTAGTCTTTTAAAAAAATTTCTCAATGTGAGACACTTACATGTGTGTGTGTGTTTTTTCTTTCTTTTTTTTGAAAGTTTACACTTCAAAAGTCAACAATGTGACACAAATTTCACGAGTAAAAATGTCATCTACCCCTCATTTAAAAGTGAAATATTAAACACCGGGTGTGGAGCAGTTTATACTACATTCACACTTCAAGTCTAATGGGCTAATGGCCTCTTGTGTATTTGGGGGGGGGGAATGATAGAGTATATAAACCGACCTTGAACTTCAACCGTTGGTTAACTCTTTTGATTGAGATGCTTCTTTAACATTGGATCAGAGACAAATCCATAGTTTGGTACCTTTAATAGTTTAAGTGTTGAGTGAGTACAGTGGGCTAACTTAATTAGATTTCCAAGTGAAGATGGGGGGGGGGAAGGGTTTGAAAAGATATGCTCTGGTCCATAAAATATCAAATGTGACAAAATAAAAATAGCCTTATATATGAGTGGGGATTATAAATTTAATTAATTATATATGAGTAGAGCATATTTCAGCAGAATATAGTAGAAAATATATCAAAAGAACATGACCTTAATTAGTAAAGATAACTAATTTTAAATCACAAATAAACAGTAATATACAACAATAAACAATCCATATGAATAGATTATTTCAATTCAATAAAAATGAAGAGTACAAAACTTCCTTCATTTTTGTTTATGTACCCCAATTTGACATTTGCACTATCTACATACACTACTTTAACTAATGTCTCTACTTTATAAATAAAATTAACTACTTCCTCCGTTATTTTTTTTATTGCATCATAAAAGGATTTCACGCTTGTTAATGCATTACTTTGGCTATTAATGTCTTCAATTATACTTTTGTAAAATTATAAAAAATTGATATTTTGAAAAGTAGATTTTGAGACGAATATAACTAGATCCCACATGACTATGTTTTTCCTAACGGATAAATCACATATGATGGTCAAAGAAGATTAAGTAATGGTGTAAAAGTCCTTATGGTGCAAAATAATCATATGAGCACTTGTTAGATTCGTTTCAATGTATAGTTTTCAAATCTTAACTTTTCAAAACTTGTCTTTGTTGATAATTAAAGATATCATCAGTCAAATGGTATGCATTAATAAACATATCGATCAAATTGGAAGTACAATGCACATAGTTGAAGAAAAATATAGATTAGGGTTGTAGGCTCTAATAAAATAATGCAAGTGGACAAATTTTTTATAATATAAAGTATAATTAATAAGATAGAGAAATAATAAAAAAAAATTAGCGTAAGTGGAGTTGGTATGAGTAAAAATACTCCCTCTGTTTCACTTTGTTAGTCCCATATATTATTTTGGCGTTTCAAAATGATATACCCATATGGAATATATTCCTAACATTATTGTATGGTGAAAAATTTTCATAATAATCTATGAGACTAACAAAGTGAAACGGAGGGAGTATTTTTCACTCTTATCAACTCCCCTTACGCTACTTTTTTATTATTACGAATTGGGTGTTTAAAGAGTCAAATGATTCTGATTGATTAATATATGTGTTAGTGGATTGCTAACACGAGTAATTCTTCAAATCAATATTTACTATAGGTGATTTAATTACAACCAATTCCCATAAATAAAACAAATAAAACAGATTAAAACAAAACATTAATTACAAAGATGCAATCAATTTCCAAATTACTAGGATTCCTCCTTTTCTTATTTTAATTGATTGATTCCAAAGGGGACTAAAAATGTAAAACAGAGGGAATAATAAAATACTACCTCCGTTTCATATTATTTGCAACGATTAGATATTTTGTATCCAAACTTTATGTCAAATCAATAATTCATTGCATTTAATATGAAATGAATACTATTTGTGAAAGTGGAGTTAATAGGAAAAATAATTAATACAGTAAAATAATAGTAGACCCATATCAAATAAGGAAGAATTGCAACTACTAGTATTATAAAACGATCATAAAAGAAAAGAATTGTGATTATTACGAAAAGGAGGAAATACCATTTCTAATTTCTTTTACACTCCCAATTCACTTTATAAAAACAGCTTCACCACTACTGTTGTAATAAAAATTACTCTGAATTATATCCTAAATTATTTTCCATTTTTCATTTAATTCATTTTCTCTCTCCTCTTCAAAAAAGATGGACCTCCATCAACACCACCACCATGACGACCCCACCACCACACCAACCACCACAACCACCATTCCAAATCCAAATCTGAACCCGAACCCGAATAGGGCAGAAGCAGAGCGTCTTCTTGGTATAGCTGAGAAGCTCCTTCAGACCCGAGATCTAACCGGCTCACGAGAATTCGCCCTTCTTGCTCAAGAAACCGAACCGCTTCTCGAAGGATCCGACCAGATCTTGGCTATTACCGATGTATTACTTGCGTCGGAACATCGAGTCGTTAACAACCGTCACTACGATTGGTATGGCATCCTTCAAATCAATCGTCAATCTCTTTCATCCGACCCTGATCTTCTCAAGAAGAATTATCGCCGTCTCGCTCTCATCCTCCACCCCGACAAGAACCGTTACCCTCTTGCGGACTCTGCATTTAAGCTCGTCGCGGATGCGTGGGCTCTTCTTTCGGATCATTCCAGGCGGGGGCTTTACGACCATGAGCTCAACGTTTACGAGAAGGTCGAGCTCCCCCGGCACGGGGCCGAGAAGGATAAATTGCCCGTCCGGAGGAGCCCGCGCGGAGGGGTCGCAGGGGGCGGCGATGAACCGGGATTCAATTCATCCGATCCATCGCCGCCAACTGCCGCCCCGCATACTGCCTCGGGGAAGAAACAAACCCCCCGAGGCAGTACCGTGGGCGCGGGACGGGGTGGGGGAGCAACGGGCAGGACGACCAATTTTTGGACAGCCTGCCCGTATTGTTATGTTCTGTATGAATATCCGAGGGCTTACGAAGACTGCTGTCTTCGATGCCAGAATTGCGAGCGAGCTTATCATGCCACGGTAATAAATTCACTCCCGCCAATGGTGCCCGGAAAAGAGGCGTATTATTGCTGTTGGGGGTTCTTCCCCTTAGGGTTCTCGCTCGAGACTACCACTAAGGGGAAGAAGAAGGTTGGGTCTAATCAAGATGGCATTAACAATGTGAATGCTAATAATAATGGGAATAATAATAGTAGCAATAATCCGAATTCGGGTTTTCCGAATTGGATGCCTGCGGGCATGTTTACAACGCCCGTGGCAGCTGCTGCCGCGCCTCAAGGAGGCGGGGCAGCTATGAATATGAATGTGCCTGTTGGCGGTATTGATATATCAGATGGCAGTGCCTCTGCTGGTTTGGGTAATAACAATAATGTATCAGCAGGGTTTCCGACTGTGCCACCAGGGATGGGCACTCAGTCAGCCAAGAAGCGCGGGCGCCCCCGGAAGAATCCATTGCCTGTGTAGGATTGTGGTGGTTGGGATTAGTTGTTGAATTTGGGTGGTCAGACAATGTAGGATGATGGCTAATGATTCTATATGAATTATTTTAGAGGATTGGGTGGAAATAGATGAAATTTTCCAAGGGAATAAGGATTGCGAAAATGCGAAAATTAGCACCTCTAAAGGTGGGATGGATTGATGGGGGAGAAGTGAAGAATTTTGAAGTTGAAAGCTGGTTTTATTGTTGGTGTTTTTTAATCTGGTAGTGTAGATTAAATTTAGATGTATCAATAGTTTGTACTTTGTAGAACTAACTCACATAATCACAGTTATTTATGTTGTATCTTTGTAGTGAATTTGTAATCTAGGGCTTTCCCCCTGGTTTGGGGGGTTGATGTATTTATGTTTGTTTACAGCATTTTGTTCCTTCTGAGAAAAAATTGAAAGCTGAAAATAGACATGTTCTTTCTAGTTTTATCTGTTTACATCTTCTGTTATACTCCTGCTTTGTAGTGTACTATGTAGTACAGTGCATCATTAGTCATTACTGGTATTTATCTGGGTTGTGTTTTTTCCAAAGGAAAACACTTTGAACTGAATTCTGTTCTCTGACAGAAATTATGTATTAATCAGACTCCATTTTCTTTGTTAACTCTATTGATGTAAATGTCGTAATAAGTTAAGAGAAATAAAAAGGGGAATGGAGGCAAAGAAATGGAAGATTGGAAGGGAGGAGACTCTGAGACGAAGAAGAATCGGGATAGAGAGGAAATTGTGGCATTTTTACCGTACACAAGAATATATTTTCCAGGTTTAGCCTACCGAAATCAACTATACCCTTCAACAAACCAGAAAAAGGAAAGTGAGAAAATCAACTTTCTTGCAAAACAGTTTTTTTTAATAACAACCAAATATGCTTTCATGCAGATATATTAATCAATTTTTTTTTTGTTTTTATTAAATCAATATGTCAATATTATTTTCCGAATGTTTGCATAATGCAAAGTTCACTTAGTTACCAAAATCATCCTCTTTGATCAATTACACTACATCCATGACCATTTCCACTAACCTGACAATTTCTGTGCAATCCTAATGAGCAAGGGCATATAACCAAATCATGGTAGATGTACACTTAAATTGGACGAATTCGGTATTCATACAATATTCAGTAGATTGATAATAGTCATATTGTCTGACCATTGACAGCAACTTTGTATTCAGTTCAATCTCTTTCTATAATTAAAAAAATCCAAATCAATTACAAATCTCACAGGAGCACCAAGTAAATCCAAGCAGCATCAACTAATCAATTAGTGTTTGTTATATCGATCAAGTTAGCATCCTCACAGAGTCACAGTAGCTTCATCCATCTGCAACCGCGGCATCCTCAAAACGTTGCAATGTTAATAACCATAGAACACTTCAACACACTAAATATTCATCTAAGAGGAGGTCTCTAGAAATGCAGACCCATCTTTTTATCATTGAGGAAGATTATTCGATCTTGGTTTTGTGTATCCGAGACTCGTTAACTTCTCTAGCAGCTTCTTCTCAGCACCAATCTACAAGTTAAAATTTTCTTTTTAGATGAAACCATTAAAATGAAATATTACATCATGCGATATAACTTCATCAACATAAATGAGGTGGTTATAAATTGAAATTTAAATGAAGCGCAGGAAACCTCTAGCAATGGGTTACTCTTTGGGAGATTGCAAGCCAATATAATATTCAACCCAGTCCGAAGCACTACAATCCATCATATTACCAGGGTCAGAGAGACTCATTTATTTATAGATTAACAAAATGCCATAAAAAAAACAAAATCAGAGGGAAAAGAGCAGAATACCTAACCGACGAGCAATGCCAACACCAGTATTATCAGAAGTTCCCCCAAGTATTGAAGTCACGCTCACGGTATTGTTCTGCATACCATATTGAAATTCAGATGGCAACAAAGACAACAAGGTTATGATGAAAAATATAAAGGTGATAAACAAGAACAAGAAGGCTCCTCATACAAAGACTACCATTTAAGCAAGCTTGCAGTATCAAAATTTGTAACAAGAGTTCTTGGTGATGTTTATACATATACACTCTATAGAGAAACAAAAAAAAAAAAATAGAAGAATCATAGATTTTAACTCAATGTTTGTTGCTTACAGGTCGTGTCGGGCCAGCAGCATGAAGATGCCCGAGTTTAGCAGAGCTGCAGCCAATCCATGCATAAATCTAAATAAACCATAAAGTATTTAGTAAGGCAAACAGTATTTCAAATCTGGAGTACGCTTAACAGGGTTTGCAGATATTTATATCAGCATGGTTAATCAAACACATGAAAGTACGTATACCAAACAGCCATGCCATAGCCCAAATATGGTTTTTATTGGCAAGCAGTGTCAAAAATGCATATTGTTTGAATTTACATACTAGAAAAAATGTAGGTCTCAACACTCAACACAAACCTTAAAACACGGAGATGAAAGCCACAAAAAAATTTAAAGCAGTTGTGGCAACAAAAACCCTTTTAGTCACGAAGAAAGGATGTACTAAGATTGACTGGCCATCTAAAGTTGTGTTTTTGGATGCCTCGGGAGTCAGGAAGATTGGCTTAGGTTATACAGCCATCTCTCTATAAATGTGATCACAGTACAGAGCCTTGAGTCCCTGACAAACATAAGGATAACCTACACCTAAGCCTCATATGACTGATATGAGGCACCCTCCAAAGTTACCACTTAGATGAAAAACCCTGACTCTTATGGCTTGGAACTCATGAACACTAAGCAAGACCAGGCCAAACTTACTGTCGAGTCCTCAAAGTCAATGTATTGTAAGTGACTTGTAGTATTAGTAAAGAGACAGTAAAACTTAATACGTAGTAATAATAAACCAATAAAGCACAGCATTACAGCAAAACAAATCCAACTACCTGTTTATTGAAGCGCATTATCTGAAAATGAACAGGTGTCTCATCTAGTACATCTGAAAAGCACGTGATTTCCACACCGCTATCTTTGTTAATAGGATTCTGACAAGACGTCGTCTCTACCATTTCTGACCGATCCATCACCACAATTGACAAGTATCTGTAGATGTCATGATAGTTAAAACTAAACATTATAATGAATATGACATTACAGTATCCCACATCCTGTTCTTTTTGTTCCTTGAAACCAGACAAATGCAAGAGCACGTGAATTGGAGGAAAGAAAAAAAAAAAAAAAAAAAAAAAAAAAAAAAAAAAAAAAAAAATCTTTTACCACCAGCCAACAAAACTCAATCAAAAAGCACATAAGGCATATAGCAGATTAAGGGACATGTTCTGTGTTCTAATTAATGGGAAGCAACTAATGGTCTAATCACTATGTTTAGCTCTCAAAGAATTAATCCTAAAAGTAATTGTAAGTAATTGGGTTTATAAATTGTGCAATCAACAAGTACAAGAATGCAGAAATTACAGACAGGACATAACAAGTTCAACAATAAGGGACACGAGAAGATTTTACACGGAAACACAAGAACCGGTGAGAAAATCCACCAAGCTACACCAGGACTTCAAATAATGTGTAAGACATGATTTACAAGGCTTGGAGATCTATCAATCTAAGTTAATCACTTAAGTCAATATGACAGTGACTTACAAGACTCTCAAGATCGCCTTTGATACCACTAATGGACCAATGTTCCCCACACTCTTATCTTGTCTTTTTTTGGGTTTTCTCCATTATTTACAGTGAGTCAATGATATATAACATATATAAGACTAAAACCTAATAATATTAGTAAACAAACTCCGGTAAAAGGAAACAACCTGTATATTTTCTAAGTTATGTCTTATTCATTTAAAATTATTTAAAATAACTTCCTAAGCCAATAAGCCATGATGTTGCCCAAATTGTAGAGATCTCCTTACAAAATTCCCTTGTTGCCCATGTATATCATTGCAAATTTGCTCACTTGCTACTTCTTGTCTTATGGGCTCAATGCATTGCCACTTATCATCAGTCATCACATGGGCTCAATAAGAGCAAATGAAACCACAAGAACCTTAACAACTATCATACAATCACGCCACACAAACCTAAAATTATCCCTACCATGAAATTGGTCGCGAAAACAACCGCAGATCATCACAATGTTAATTCAACAGCAAAACAACCAGAGTTGCTAATATCAGCATGAGACTCATTCTTGAAGCAGACAATTGGTACAGCAGCAGAAAATGCCAAAAAAGGAAAACCTAATACTTGAAGATTGAGAAACCTATGGTAAACTTAGACGTGCTTGGGAAATTGGAGAAGATGAGAAAGTTTAAAGGCAGAGAATAGTACGAGGAAGACGGGGAGCAGCTATTGTTTGTATTGCTGCAGTGTCCTCTGTCTCCTCACTCTTCAAGATGGTGGAAAGCCAGAGACAGGGAGAAGAGAGGGTCAGAGAGGGAGGCCGTTGCAAGGATTGAGAAAAAGGGATACTTGATTTCTTCTTTTGGTGACATTGGGGCATGTACCTTGCACCTTACTTCTCCAAATTAATATATGTAGCAATTAACCTGGTTCACAAACTATTGAATTCACTCAGATCTTTGTTTCTTCTCCAATTCTTGTTATACAACACCAATCTCTCGAAGTTTGCTTCTTTAAATGGGTGGAATTTTGGGAATGGAACATAAGGGAAGAATGTTTCCTAATCAGAACAGAAGTTTTCTCCTTCCTGCACTCCCCCCTTCCCCAACATCCAAACTAGTTGTCACTTGTAAGACTTATTAACTTCTAGCTACACAGCTCCATTATATCATTACATGTATTGCTATACATGAACATGGCCAACAAATAAAGCCAACTATTCTACCACAGCTTCAATCTCAACGAACAATAACCTCGAAACCTTCCCATGTCCAACTCAAATTTAAGTAAGTTCCAAGAGGGAAATCGTCGAGCTTCAAAGCGTGTAAATTGAAAGTTTGAAACCAAACCACCAGACACAAGTCATTACAACTCGTCCACATCCCTTAACCCAATGTGATGAATATCAAACTTTGTACTTGTATTCTTATTTTCACTCAACCGACAGCAAATTCTTCATAAATCACGGATTCTAGTAAATGGTTATGCTACTATATAACCTCCACGATAAACAATACAGTATCAATCATAAACTTCCAATAAATAAGCCCTTTACTTTGAAGACCCAATTGAATAACTTCAAACTAAATATCTGATTCCATAAGAAATCCTCCATAATTTCATCATCATAAAGCAAATAATTAATACTAATTAGTGATTACCCTTTTCCTAATCTTGCATAATAGTGCTAAACCCATCAATAATTACCTAACACAAAGAAAAATTAGCAATCAATCAATCAAAGCTTACAACATACTGACGCTATTGCTTGATAATACCAAATATACTGAAAATTGGTCCAAATTATACAGTCAATTTACTGAGTCTACAATTTGAAATTTGAGAAAACTTACAAGCACATACTTGTATGAATTAAAGAGCTAGAAATAATGGCGTGTCAATCTATTTGAAAATTTGAATTCGAACGAGTTTAAGCAATGCAAAAAAACAGCGTTATTTACCTGGTGAGTGACTGAGTTGAATTTTTGGAAAGGTTGGAATATGACACGAATCAATTTGGGGGAATGAGGAAAGATGAAGGAGGAAGCGTGAAGAGAAGCACGATATGATGCCCTTGAGCCTCGATTTACTATGAACTCGGACCCTTAAGCCGTTAAGCGAATCTTCTAAATTACTCGAATATTTAAAAAAAGCTAAAAGATAATCTTTTAAATTACTCGAAAAAATTGACAAAGTGAGCTTTTAATGGAAACAATTTTCTAAAGTAGACGCGTGGTAAAACTATTTACCAAACTAAACTTCAGGGTAAAATGTCATCCAGGGTGGCGTTTTTACCCTAGCCTTTTTTTTTAAAAAAAAAAATTCAGTGCAGGGAAAAACGCCATCCTGGTTGGTGTTTAACCTTGACTGAAATTTTCTTAAAAAATTAGGCCAAGGTAAAAATGCTAACCAGGTTGGCGTTTTACTCTGAAACATAAAGCGCCAGCCTGGTGGTTTTTCCTGCAACACCCAACCTGCAAATTGCAGGGACCACACCAGCCACAAACACAACAACAGCAGCAACAACATCAACAACAACAACAAAAGCAACAACCACAACAACAACAACATCAATAACAACAACCACAACAACAACATCAATAACAACAACCAAAGCAATAACAACCACAACAACAACAACAACCACAACAAACAACAACCAGTTCAATGAAAAGAATGAATGTGTATGGTGAAATTGATAATGGACAGAGCATCAATTCAAAAAGTCAGTAATATTGATAATATTTGTTTGAATACAACGTACTAGAGAATTCGATTACAACAAACTAACAAAAGAAATTTTAAGATCCTGATTCATCTATTCGACGTAATTGCTGTCTATCAACTTGCGGTCTCCAACGACGATAGTATTGAGATACCGTTGTGAAAGGATCTGGGGCTGAAGTCTTGGGCGGAGTCTGTTGGCTGGATGATTGTCCCTCATGTGATGAGTATGGCGCATACAAGGGTACGGCGAAATCCTCATGCATGTCAAAAAACTGCGAGGACGCTGTAGGGGACGTGTGAGTCTGTCCCCTACTACTCTCGCCTACCTCACGGTGTGAACGCTGCTGTGAGTGGTCCCGTCCCTGGATAAGATGACCCTGACCATGCCTCTGTAAGCTACTCATAGTCATTGCCTGAATTTCATCTATCTGCGGTATGGTGGGATATGATATGCTCAAGACTCCCAGTGCATCATGTATAGCCAGCATATCAAACGCTTACAGAAGTAAACAATCAGTCAATTTAATAATATCAGAAATTATCAATTGATAAAAAAAAAATCCATCTAAAACTCACATATCCACTAATGTCTCCAAAAGCTGGCTGATGAGTTGAGGGTGGGGTGTAGTTAGGGTTGATGAAGCGTCGGGTAATACTCCTGTATTATACCATGTACGGATCGTGATACTCCATCCGGCCTTGGAAAGGCGCACCATTCACGACGTGCTGCAACCGCTGATCCCACATGTCAATGAAAGGGGCATGCTGGACTACCTAGCTCACGTCCCCCTTTCCTCGTCGGTCTGTCCTGTGCAAGTGGACACTGGTGTCACACGTGGCGGGGACGGCCTAACGAAGGCCGAACTGTTGCATGACTCTATCGGGGAGGTGAGCCTCCACTACCTCAAAACAGATGAGGACTGTCATGGCACGCCACTCCATCGGATGATCACAAAGATATGGGGTCATGGCATCGACTAAGGCAGCGATGTACGGATCCCACGTCATCTGCATTAACACGCCGTCAATAACACCATAATTAACTTATTGAAACAATGAACGGAGTGTTAAATTAGTTTTTATAGTGTAATTGATCACCTGAGACTCGCTTAGTCCGTCGAATGCGTCTCGGTAATACGGTAGACCCCTCGCTGCATGCACACGAGTAAGTCTCCGTACCAGCCACCTAATTATGTATAATAACAGTGTTCATGAGAAATTATTAGCAAAATAAAGCGGTATGTGGAAAACTTAACAGTAAGTCATACATACCTGCAACCGTATGCCATGTCTGGTGGAGGGAGTGGCGGAGCCTCATATGCATGCTCCTGATTGTTTTCCTCCTCCTGGCCATCCTGCCATCGACGGCTAGCAGCCATAGCTGGCCTACCAACGTGGATGTGCTTCCAAGCCCATAACTGTAATAAAAAACACAAGTTAAGTTTAGTCACCGTTAAGTACGTAATAGTTAAAAAAATGGTATGAAATTAAATGGCTACCTGAAGCACAATTAAGGGGTCGCCGGTCTCCCATCTATCTCGCTGGGATGCTCTGCAAAGATGGCGATACAAGGTCGCCAGACACGCACTACTCCAGCTGTAGTCACGTATCCGCTCCCAGCTGTTCTCTAACAGTTGTAGGTAGATCAACTGTATGCGACTACCACTCTTTTTACTGAATAACGATCCTACCAACATGAACAGGTACGCTCGAGCGTATCTCTGAACGACTCCATCATCAACATCAGGAGGCAGCACCCCAAATGTCTCTCGTAACCACATGTGTCTCAGCCCTGGGCCTCTAATATTGGCGACCTCAGGCCTCACCCCTAACACCCTCTCAACAAGGCCGCGAGGGTCCAGTATAATGGGACATGTCACTGCCCTAACACGTATCGGGAGTCGTGTCAATATCGCCACATCTTGGAGCGTGACGGTGGCCTCCCCAACTGGTTGATAAAAGGGCATTTGTGACGAGCTTGTATTGTATGAGGGAAGATATGTAGGTTGTTGCTGTGTCAAGCAAATAGTCTGTTGAGTACATATAGGCACCATTTCCACATACAAATTAGTGGGAAGAGATCTCATTGCAACGACACCCCTCAAAACCTCTAAATGGTCGTCATTCAAAACAGGTAAGATTTGAACCCCACTGACACTCTCAAACCTCGTTTTAATGTTCAGTTCAACATTCATTGGATTTGAAGCAGTTATAATATAAACCTTCTTCAACAAATCATTGTAAGTCATACAAGGTTTCAATGCCAACGGTTCCATTTTCCTCCTCTATACTCGACGTTCGATCCGACACACAAAATTTCACCCCCTCAACGGCATAACAAAACAATCAATTGTGAAGCCATGTTCTACATAACAATCGAAACGCATATTAGATGACACAAATACACAACACAACTAAAACCACAATGATTCTATTAAATCCTCAAGCTAAGCGTATATACAACTTAGTGTTCAACAATGTACTTATTTACCTAGTTAATCAACGATGTAGTATATATTTAAATGTACCTAATTCAACAATGTAGTTCGTAAACATACTTGAAATTTATACACTAAGTATGAAGAATAATGTATGCTTCATATACATGGTTTGCAATTAAACAACATACATATAAATATACTTAATTTCAATAATTAAACAACAATGTATTATGTAGTTATACTTATTTCGCATACTTGAACAACAATATAATACATATATTGTAAATTACAAACATAAATTCCCAAAAAAACATCATAAATAAGTAAAATAGTTAAATTCAATACATACCTCAAATTCGATCAATGTATTGCGTAAAAGTGTTGAACAAAGAAGGAGGAATAATTTTTAGTGAGTATGATGAAGATCTAAGCAATGAGATGTGATGAATTTGCTGCAAATATGGAGGAATAGGCGAGCAATGTGGCATGGGTTAGGGTTTGGAAATTAGGGCCTTTTGTTTTCTTGAAGAACAATGAATGTAATAACATTACACTACCAGAAATACCCGATACAAAAACGCCAACCAGGCTGGCGTTTTTAACCTGGCTAATTTTTATTAAAAAATTTCATTCAAGGTAAAAACGCCACCCTGTATGGCGCTTTTGCTTTGACTAAATTTTTTTTAAAAAAAATTGGTCAAGTTAAAAACGTCAGCCTGATTGGCGTTTTACCCTAGAAGCTTAGTTTGGTAAATAGTTTTACCATGCGTCTACTTTGAAAAATTGTTTCTATTAAAAGCTCACTTTGGCAATTTTTCCAAATTACTCGGTACTTTCAATATATTACGTAGGATCAAATTTATTGGGTATAACTACCTCACAAAATAACCAACGATATGGGTAGTTTATTACCCGGTTGATAATCGTATATTGTAATGTGAACCTAGAGCAAGATTAGGTACGTGAAAAATAATTCAAACATAATTGACGACTGATGCTTGAACAAGATCTATGGTTATCATAATAATTACCCTAAACATACATTCAAAATTCCAACATTTAAAGGCAATGTCTACAAATGTAGAATTGTAGATGATCATCATCTACTTTAGTTAGTTGAATTATACTCCGTAAAGTAATATTCAATGCATGAGATCAAATCTCATCATCGGACACCATTTGCAATTGTGGTTCTCTTATATCGAAGGGATGCCTACAGTAATTTACTAGTTATAGTTGTTAAGAAAATGAAATAAACAAATCATATCGATTAAACTATACCCTTAAATATGAATGTTATGACTTATGAGTCGTGTATTAATGATTTATGACTACCCATATTATATTTTATGCACTATAATTTGATTACATTTCTCTTTAATTTCCATTACAAATAAAGGGGCTCACAATTTCTTTCATTTCAATCACAAATTTGAAAACTCTATTATCTTTTATCACATACTATTTCCTTTCAATCAATTAACAAACAATAACCAAACAGGGACTTTTTGGTTGAAGGGATTTGGATGGAAAAGAAAAGAAAGGAAATGGTTTTAATTATATGTTCCCATGTTTGGTTAAATAAATGACATGAGAATTCAAAGGAAAGGAAGGGAAGTCAGAGGAAAGTCCCTTTACATTTTTAGCTTTCTTTTCCTCCCAAAATTGGAGGAATTTGACTGGAAAAAGAAAAATAAAAGTTATGCATTATAAATTTGCTTTCTTTCTCTTCACTTCCTTTCATTATTAACCAAATATTGGAAATTAAAATCACCTTCCGTTCCCTTCTCTTTGTTTCTTTTTCCTTCCCTTCCTTTCTTTTCTCTTCCTTTACTAATATTAAACCAAACAAAAGTGACTAAAGTGAGCATTTATTTCGATCTTATCAAGTTCCATATGAAATAAAAACAATATACTCCATAACTTTACAAAAAATGGACAACTCCTATTCT